AGATGCTGAACACCAAATGTCTTCCCATCATCTTCAATAGTTATTATCTTCCTCGTAAGGCCACGTGTATGTTAGCCAAGCATGAGAGTTTCTCTTTAGATTTTAGAGCTAGGTATTATAACTGTGGAAGGGCTAGTGTAACCTTCAGCTGGAAGGGGACTGCTTTCAGCTTTTATCTGGCGCTTGTCTTTGCTCAAGTGAACGGAAAAATGCTACCAAGAGCATTTACTGCTTGCCAGAAATGTGCCACTCCCCGAGTTAGGTCTATGGGGGACAGAGACAAACATGCTTAGAGTTTCAAAGTTTCAGTCTAATGGGAGAACACAAATACATACTGGCATTTATTCATTCAGCAAGTATTTAGTTAGCCTTTTCTATGAACCAGGCTCTGTGTTAGGCCCTGGGGACACAAAGATGAGCAAAATACAACAAATTGTGACACATGCTTTAAGCAGGATATGCACAGGGTGAATAGCGTCCTTAGGAAAGGCACCTGACCCTGTGTGAGGGCGAGTGGAGGTGGTCAGATGAGGCTTCCAGAGGAAGTGAGGTTTCAGAGCTAGCTACCCCATATTGTCTGCACTGCTGGAGAGCTTGCATGTATCATCTTTATTCCTCACAGGGCAGTCCTATTGGGTAGGTACAAGTTATGATGGAGGAAGAAACAACACACCATGGATGAACACGATGGGAAGGGTAACTCTGACCAGGCCATCTAGGAGGTGTCATGGAGGAGGCATGATTTGAACAAGTCTGGGTAGAATGGTTTAGGGCAGGCCTACCACGAGTTCTTTCATTATTCTAGTGAGTCCTCTGGGTCATGTGTAGGGAGGAACACTCTAAAGGGTCAAGGTCATTTGCCCAGCAGCCCAGGGGATGGAGTGATATTTTTGGTGGGGAGTTAAGGGGAAAATGAGGATGAATCTTATTCAAGCTTCTTTGGGTTACAGGGAAAAGCAACTCACTAGACTAACGTAAGCAAAAAATAAAAAGCAAAACAACAAAAATGGGGTATTTAAGGATTTAGAAATCCTGCAGAACATGCATTATACCTTTTTTGCCAACTGCATAGCCTCCTTGTGCCATATTTTCCCATGCACACTCTGCGCGCTATTTACCTGGGGCACGTTATTTGTGAAAAATACGGTAGTGTGACCTCGGCAGGGGTGGCTGGAACCAGAAAGTGAACACCTGTCAGAATCAGCTGCTATCTCACTTCTGCCTCATCCTTTTCCCTCTGCAGCCTGGCTCACACTGCCTCTCTGCTGCAGGCCAAAAGATGCCCCATACACTTCCTCAGATCTAACCTCTCTGTTCTACAATTCTAAGCGCCCAGGAGAGAGAATTGGATTTGTTCCCTTTGGGCCACACAGCTATGACCAGGGAGTAAGAGCATCTGTTCTCAAAGAAGGTGGAGTTTGAGCTGAGCAGACCCCAGAGGCTGACTTGGCAGCCTAGGTCATGCCAGCATGTTCTGGAGAGGTATCCAACTCTGGGTACTGTCAGAACCCAAGTTATGGTGAAAGGATGCTGAGAGTTCTTCGTTTTTACTTCCTCACCTCTGCCCTTTAAAGTAATACATGGGCTTCCATGTTTATAATTCTTCGGTGGAGTTATTAAATCCATAAATAAAGATTTAATTTTTAAAACTCTGCATCGTGAGAGCAGAAGTTAAAGGGCAGGCAGAGGAGAGCTTACCAGCCTTGATGGCTGGGGCAGCAAAGGCAGAGGCACTCAGCTTCCGGGCTGCGAGGGCAGAGGAGCCAGCAGAGGCTGAAGCTGCTGACAGGAGCTAAAGCCAGCAGAACAGCCCCTGCCCTCAGATGAAGGAATTAGAAAAGCCCTCCTGTACCAGAGAGGTCCCTGAGTGGTGCAAACGGTTTGTGCTCGTCTACTAATCTAAAGGTTGGCGGTTTGAACCCACCCTGTGGTGCTACAGAAAAAGGCCTGGTGATCTGCTTTCAAAAGGACACAGCCTTGAAAACCCTATGAAGCACAGTTCTACTCTGTAGCACATGGGGTCGCCATGAGTTGGAATTGACTCGACAGCCATGGGTTTGGTTTTTGGTTCTTGTACCAGAGACCACGCTGCAAATGCAGCCACAGAGAGGCAGGACAGCAGGACTTAAACAGACCTGAAGGCTCCGAGAAATACCAGGGCAGTTCAGCAGCTCTCAAAATGAGCAAGTTTTGACCCAAACCAGTTAGAGAAAGGGGGAGCAGTGGAAGGGGGCTCTGCGGGGAGGGCGCCTGTACAAGAAGAGGGATTGAGAAGGGATCCAGAAAGTCTGAACCTGGAGGAGGAGGAGGGAAGAGCCCCAACCCAGAGGAAGCGCCGACAGCTGAACTAACAACTTCGTTCTTTACATCTCTGCCCACCCTCTTCCCCACTATCCAGGGCTCTGACAACATTGGCTCACGTTCCTTGATTAAAATGAGCAAGAGGAACACTGATTTCTAGGGAAGGCAGGCTCTAAGACCAAAATCAGGAGGGACAAGATATTGAGAACAAAGAGAACTTGGAAGTTAGGGCAGGAAGCTTTAGGCACCAGGGTGAGGGTGAGGGGTGCCCTCTCCACCCTGCCTTGTGATAGAGAAGCAACATCAGGGCTAGATGATCTGGCAAACAGCTGTCTCCACAACAGCAGTCCATCCCGGTTCTTCATGTTATTTCAGCACCCTTGTCTCTGGCTTGTCTCTGGCTGTTTATTGTTTTAGGGCCAGGTGTTGAGGGCAGATGTGGAACTTCCTTTGGGCTCTTAATTCTACCCCCTGCCCACCCCACCCCCCACCCCCCGATTAGGGCCTTTGCCTCCCGCTGTCTTTTGTTCAACCCAAACCAGAGGTCATAACCTGTTTCTGTCAAGCCATGAGTCGTGGAGGGTCTGAGAAGGGACGATGAGGCTGGTTTTTGATGATAGGATTCAGCTACTGAGGCTCTGTCTCCTGGAGCAGCAGATAATTTAGTTTAATGAATTTGGACAGTTCACTGGATCTGCCCACACAGTTCCACTCACCTTCCAAAACGCTTCCAAAATAGCACTAGCTATTGTACAGGAGCCAAAAAGAAGAAAGCTAAAAGTAATAAATGACAAGGCCTCAGAAATTTCTGCCCTTTCAGAAAAAGTCTGAGTGAACTTCTCCAGAGAAATTTTAAGCCTAAAAGAAAAAGACTGCTTCTTCCTTTCTCATTGAAGAATCAGGCAAAGAAAGACGCCACAAAGACAACCACACGTATGTATGAGGTGGAAGGACCCGGTTTTCATGGAATTGCTGAGATTTTAAAGAGGTACTTATAGTCGCTGCTCACACTGATGTCATTTACACACAGTTTCAGAGCTATTCTCTCCTCAGGTCCTCAAAATGCCATTCCCAGTGTTTGGTGCTATCAGGGTAATTCCACAGACACGGCTCCACCCTCCAGTAACTTACAATCAGACACACACAGTCACACTAGGAAGGAGCCAAACACCCACATGTGCACACGTGCACACACACACACACACACACAATCACACACTCAGTCACAGTGCCATGCTGCCACTCCTCCTCACTGTCTGGACCCCTCTCCAGGCCTCCACTGAGAACTCCTTTCCTCCTCCACCCTTCTCCTTGTACACCCTGAGCTGGAGCCAGATGTTCTGTGGGCAGACCCCTCTGTGGGCTGACAGGTGGTGATTACTGTTGCCAGCCCCACATTAGGAGAGAATTGAATGGGAGAGAGCCCCCACCCTCCTCGGGCTCCCCACAATAGCGCCTTTGTGAGGTGCTTTGTTGCCTTTCTTTTCCCCTTCCTCACCAGCCTACGTCAGGAGCAGCTCTTCCTGAGGGGCGAAGAAAAGAAGACAGAAGGAGGATCACAGGGCCCTGACTGATCCACCCTACCCTGAGATGGGGAAGAGGGCCATACTTTGGGGAGAAGATTGTGTTCCTATTTCTCACCTCTCCCAATCAGGATACATAACTAGGAGGACTCCCAGGGCTCCCTGAGGTAAACTTCCCCATAGAGTCTTGTCCATCAGCAGCCTTGCTCCTGTGAATGCGGAACACGGGGATGAACTGGGGTGCAGTGGGGGACCGGGTACAGAGATCAGCAGATTCCTAGAGTCTAGAGTCCAAGACCCAGGGCTTTCCCCTCTCTTATCTTTTCTCCGTTCCCCAGACTGCCTTCTGCAATCCAGAGCCAAAGGCCAGGGTACTAGGTCAGGAAGGGTTAAGTTTCCAGGACTCCTGGACAGACTTCAGCCAGATTCTGGGACTAGGGTAGGGGTGATGAGGGTGGAGAAAGGAAAAGTTGGGGAACTGGTAAGACCAACATCTGGGACATGGTCACTGCCCTCCTTGCTACCCAAACCGCAGACGCTGTGGCAGCAGGAAAATCAGAGAGGCTCAGACCAAGAACGATTGTGCAACCCGGTCTGGGGAAGAGCCCAGAGCCGGAGATGGGAGGTGGTCTGGGGTGGGGGACAGTTCACTCCAGAGGTGAGACTTAAAGTTCTCACTGAAAACATATGCACTCAGGGCTCTGGTCTCCACCCTAGACTATGATGCAATTAAAATCCATTCTCTAGTTCAAAAACATCTGAGCATTCGAATTGGAAACTCTGCCCTGGGCCCCAGTCTCTCACGGCCAGAGGCACGGTGCCATTGGTGGTTCTGGGAAGGCTGCTGTGGATGGTGGTCTGTGTGGAGGGAGGCTTTTGCCCAGCCTCCTGAAGTGGGAGGATTCTACCACTTCCCCTGGCGCCTCACAGTACAATCTGTAACTGGAGAGGTCCCTCTTCCCTCAGCAAAGGGAGCCCAGCCAAGTCTTCAATGTGGCTGAAGGAGTAGGAGTGGGATGGGAGGAGGAAAATGGAGGGTCATGGGGAGAAATTTGATCTGAGGGCTGCCCCAAACAAGCACAGGAGAGGAGAAGTGGATTTTCTTTTTAATACAAAATGTTGCAATACAAAATGATGCCGAGGAAGTCCCATTCTTCAGGGCACTAAAGAGACCGTAAGGTAGAGAGGGTGGAGTTGAAAGTCTTCTATTCCCTCTTCCCCTACTCACACTGAAGGCAAGGAATACTCTGTTCTCTGCTCCCTGGGGTTGCCCCCATAGGGTTGTCTTCGACTGGTCTGAAACTTGATGTCACGGAGCAGGAGAGTGGGAGTGCCTACTTCAGGATTTTCACTCTTTAGTTCTAAGAGGATTACTCAAGATCTGGAGTTCCATGTGGAACCAAAGGGCTGTGAGAATTTGGCTTCTGTTGGCCAAAAATAGGGGATTTGAACCATAATTTGCCCACATTTGGAGAATGAGGAGCAGGAAATTTAGTGGGACTCGACAGCACCCAACAACAATAAACATACAACAGTGAGAGAGATTCAAAACACAAAGCTAGCTCCTCAAACTTCCTCCTCTTTCTTCCTCATCTCCAGCTTGTAGACAATCTGGTAGCCATCGTCCCAGGCATACAGCTGACGCTCTCGGGGGTTATAGCGGAGACTGGCGTGGGCGCCATATCGGCGGGGGAAATAAGGGAGTGCTGCCCGCTCAGGGGTCAGGGTGCCACTGGCATCAAAAGAGCACTGGATGCGGGCCCGACTGGCAGGGCGGGTGTTATAGACTACGTACAGGGTTCCACAAATGACAAAGGCAGCCTCGGCATTCTCTCTGGGACATGGTGTGTCCCACTGCTGCTCTGTGTCCAGTGTCTGTGGGTCTAACTTGGCCAGACACAAGTGCCTATCATCCTCCCGGGTGGCATAGACAGCCCAAAGGCCCTCCTCATCAGCTGCCAGGTCAATGTAGGTGTCTGCTGTCAGCCCATATGGGGGGATCAACCCTTCTGCTGGGAATACTGAACTGTCCACCACTGTTCGGTTTGCCAGGTGGAATTTGATGAGCTGCAAAGTGTTCTCTAATTCGCCACCCCCTCCAGGTCCTCCAGGAGGCCTCCGGGCATAATAGAGAAAGCCACCATATACCAACTGCCCTGTGCCTACCCAGGGAAACGGCACCCGGACTCGGGAAGCTTTCCGGGTAGCCATGGAAAGGGAGAAGTCACGCAGCCTGGGGAAGACAAAGGCTGTGTCGTTCTGCGTCCCATCTAACACGTAGATCTTCTCTGCTGGCCCCAACGGATCCTTGGTCCATAGACCAGCTGGGCCACCGAAACGCTTCAGGATCTTCATTGATCTCACCTGAGAAATTGTGTAGCTACAGTCTGGTGGGGAAGGAGAAAAGCACAGGAAAAGGAAAGACGGGTGAGAATTAGACATCTACAGCAAGAACCCCCATGGTGGGCTATTTGGTAAAAGGTAGGCATTTGCCCAGTGGCTGCCTCCACTCTTCTGGGGGATTGGGAAAGACAGGGCACAACAGAAGCCTGGGTCCCCAGAAACTCTCCTTTAATGGACCTTCCATAACAGAGATCTCCCCAAAACAGATTCCCAGAAGATAGAACCACGTTGGACTGGGACAAGGAGAAAAAAGGGAAAGAACCAAGGAAGAATGCAGGTTCTTAAAGTGTTAGGGGCCTGCCTTCAGGTCACTTACCTGTCAGCATATCGTACTTCTCATTTCTTCTGCCCTTGCTTTTGGTCCCAGGGCCGCCGGTCACCTTCTCATCAACCTCTACACAGGGTACAACTGGGTTCTGGGTCTCCAGATAGTCAACCTCCCGCTCCAGACGGTCCACTCTCCCTAAGATGGAGTCAGCCTCAGTTCTGAGTGCCTCCCGCTCCTTCTCAGCTACCTCCAGCAGCGGCAGCATCTTGTTCTTGAAGTCCCGCAGCTCAGCTGCATGGCGACTACTCTGGTCCTGGCACTGGGCCAGCCGTTCCTAAAGGGATGGGGGCGCGGGAGGGAGGGCTGAAGTGTTACAACTCCCAGGCAGGAAGAGGCCCAACCAGGGAGTCAGGAACGGGAAAAGGGGCACAAACTCTACCAGGTTTCAACATCCCCTTCAACCCCCACAAAAAGGGAAACCAGATGTTCAGCAATGCTAACTGTGCAAAAAGCCCAGCTTGACTCACCTAGGCCCCTACCCTTATTCCACATTCTCCAGCCTGTGTTCTCTGGGAACAGCACCACTGAATCATCTGAGCCTCTAGGGCAGTCTAACTGCACCAAGGTGGGAGGGGGTCTCTGCTCCATCACACAATTCTCTTGGATGCTACAAACCTCAAACTTAAGGCAGGAAGTTGCAAATTCTCAGGAGCCTCCAATTTCAACAGAGTTATCAGCTCTACTGAGATGCTTTCCCATAATCCTAGCTCTCATTTCCACTCTGTCCCCTTAACCCATCTAATCCCAGGTATAAAACACAAATGTATATTTGCCTTGGAATTGCTCTATGTGGACAAAGAGGAGGCCTTGCACTTTTGAGGGTCTACTTATTAAAAGACAGGATACTCTGTAGTTTCTTCTAGAGCCCGATCTTGTCATCCCCAGATCCCTGACAAACGGGGTGAACCAACAGATGTGGAATCCTTCCAGGTTGGACTAGAAAAGAGTCCCTCACCTCTAAGGCAGCTAGTCGGCGTTCCATGTACTCCACAAGGTGCTGCTGCTGTCCTTGAAGGGGGTCCGACCATGACAAAAGGAGCAAGATGAGGAAAGGAGTGCTGGGCCCCATGGCAGCTGGGAGAGTGGGGCCAGGGTAGTGTGCAGTCTGTCTCTTCCGCTCAAGCCCTCGGCTTAGCTTTGGAGGCGGGGTGGGGGGCGGTGCCTTCTCTTTCTGGATCTCTGGGCCCCTCTCACTACTCTGGAATGCTTTCACAGTCTCTTTACAGCTCCCACCCCCTCCTTTCAGCCTGGATTGATCAAATACAGATGGCCCCACTGCAGAGGAGCCAGAAGCCTTAACCACCTCCCTCCTAGGCTGTAGGTTCCCAAGGAGAGGGGTGGTGGGAAATCCTAGGGCAGAAGCGCCTCTGGGCAGTCACCCAGGGAAAGGAGCTAGCTGTAGGAGACAGAGGCAAATAGGCCCCAGAGAAAATTCAGCAAACTCTATTCCTGTTTTAGGACTGCTTCCAATGCTGACTTCTTACGAAACTGACATCCTTCATTAATCCTTCCTTTGCTGGCAATGCTAGAATGGATTGTTTTCTGCCTTATTCAGTGGAAGCTGGAAGAGGGGGAGATGAAATTTAAGGGGAGGAAGTAGGGAAAAAAAGGCCATAGTGGTCAAGATTTGTTCTAACTTCTTCTATAGCTCATTGGCGCCATCTTGTGCTAAACACCTGATGTCATCGCTTGATTAACAGGGAAACCAAGGCTTAGATTTCACCCCGTGTGGACAGTTTTCCACAAAGCAGGTAAAAGCAGGTCAAGTAAATTCTCAACATGCCAATTGACTAAAACACAGATTCCCTCCTCTCCCCCCCGACTATCCAATTACTTTAGGGGGCTATCTCAATCTCTTAAGAGAATATAACTGAGATAAAAACAACAACAAATAGGTCACTAAGAAGTTGTATAATTAACTCGTGATTGTCTGGAAGTGAGACTGACAGCAGAGCTGGTCTTCAGTAGCTTTCCTTAGCCTGAAAGCTTCCAGCTATATTTGCTTACCAACACTGGTGAGTGTTCAGCAAGTTCACACTAATTTCACATTCATTTATTTAGGAAGAAACGTGCAAAAACCTATAGGTTACAGTCTAGATCACAACAAATGTATTCTGACCTCTCTATTACTGGGAGAGAACAATCAGACAATTGATATATTCTCTTGGTTATGGTTCAAAAGGGTGTTTCTAGGTGTTTGTTTCTACATCCCAACAAAGATTCAGGAGCCCAAAATGAATTAATGGCCACTGTAAGACTTAGCCTGAAACACACACATGTCAAAAGAAGTCAAACAAATGAACATTTTTATAAACAAATCTCTCAGTAGAAATTTTATTCACTTTAGATTCAAGAGAAATCTGATCAGAGCTGCTCCTCTAAAAAGGACCACACCTCTCACAGTGCAGCTTGAAAGGAGGGAAAAATATCATCTTGTGGCGATTCTTATTTTCATTCTGCAACTTAAGATGCTTGGTGAAACATACTAGGAAACAAAGTCTAATCAACCTCTGTCAGAAGTCTTCTGCCTCTTTCTAAGGCCACATCCAGATTCCTGGAAACTCCATTCTTGGGAAGTGTTCCCTACCAACCCCTATTCATTTCCATTATGGAGATCTGTTTGAAGAAAGAATTTGTCTGTAATACTCCACTGATGTTCAGATGCAATATATTTAGCTACCTCCAAAGATGCCATTTGTCAATTCCCTTTGTCCCCCATAACACAAGCCAAAAACAACCATGTGAATCAGAAAATTTACCCATTTTATTGATGCATTGCAATTGCTCTACATTTTACCATATTATGTAGAAAATACTGAAAATACAAGCTACTTTGTAAAACCAAAGACAAACATTGAATCCAAAGATAAACTATGTTTTACACAATGGACCCTTTTCCCGTAGTTAGTATTAAATTTTAAATATCTATTTCTTTTGTTAAAATGATTATTTTACATACTCCCTAAGTACATCTGCATCACAAACATAGCTCAGTAATTCTCAGAAACTATCTGTTTCTAGAGACTTGTTGTAAAAGGAAGTGTACGACCAGAAAAGGGAGAAAGCAAAAAGTTTAAATCACACTCAATAGCTAGCATATCAAATACATTTAATAAAGTAGGAACTCCATTGCAATATCAAGGATTCAAAGCAGAAATACTAACATTACATATAATGCACATATAATGTACTGCTACATGTAGTGAGATTATTTTTCAAGCTGAATTGAAACCACACATTGTATAAAGTTTAGCAACAAACAACCATGTAGACATGCTGCACCGTTCATCAGTTTAAAAACAAAATCAAAATAGGAAGTAGGCTCAGGCCATTCCTGTCACTGAGAGGCAATTTCATTTCCTATCCTAAAACAAACCATCCCAACCAGTGGATTTTTGTGTAATAATGCTGAATAAAACACACATCACTGTGCTTACCTGGCTAAGGGCAGCCAAACTTAGCCCCTCTAGCGACGGACAGTGGATGAGCAGGCTCAGACTGGCCAGCTCAGAATGGCCAGAACTGTTTGAGACGGAGTTCTTATTCCTGGGGTTGGTATTTCAGCCGAGCAGTGACAGTGGTATCACCTCCTGGGAGCTATTAAAACTCTGGAGTGATTACGTGCCCTGATAAGCCTAGAGTGGCTACACTTAACCCTTCCCTACTTTCTCTCTTACGCTGAAGGCGAGAACTTGGAAATGCAAGTTCTCAGAGAGGACTTAAAGCCTAAGACCTCCTTAAGCTGGTTTGAGGTCGGACCACTGTAACCTGGGCCAGCTGCTCACTAAATTCACGGGGCTCCACTCATCCAGACAGGACTAGCAACCTTAAGCCCCAGGGTCGAATCTAAAGCCACATCGAGCACGTACACATTCAGCAGACACAGGCGAGTTTTTACCTGCCAATTTGCAGACCGAGACCGAAAATCTCTAAAATTCTTACAGTCGCACACTGCTAGTAATGTGATTAAGGTAACAATACAAGCTCTTGGTATTGTCTTTCTGGTAGAGTTAAGATTCCTATCTTAAAAATGGATATCTACTTATTCGACTGGGGCACAGGGGTAGGATGTTTGTTTTTTTCCCCCCTGCATCTCACTTCTTACAAACACAACAAATCTTGTCCCTTATAGAGGAAAAATAAGGAACAAAAATGTTTCCATTAGAAACTAGACCTGCGTTTAAGCAAGAAAATCAGAATGTGCTTGGCAAAAAGGAGACACAAAGATCACACACATTGTTTAGAAAACTGTTTAACACTAGTGACAGAAACTATACAAACCGCTTAGCTATCTTGATCAATATAGTGAAAACACAACTAAATATAATGACTAAAAAGCACAGAAAACACCAACATGTTCCTGGTAGGCTGTACTGACTACCTGTCCCATCTTGGAAGCCCTTACTCCTTACAATGAAGAAACTCCAAATACCTTGACAGCTCCTCAGTGTTTGGCCTGGTACAGAGCTTGCTGACCAGGCTCCATGAAATCTCCCATCTCCATCCTGCACCTCCTTGACACCATCTCTAAACAGAACCAGTCCTAGAATTATCCCCCAAATAGAACATCTTCAATTCAGATGGAACACATCTATATCTTAGGGTTAACCTTCTTCCCCAAAATCCTTTATAGGCAGGAATGTTTCCACTCCCAGTACCCTCTACTTGACCCAGATCCATGCAGGAGCTGAGAGTACAAGGACAATTTCACAGCTTGAAGGGCCCCAAGAATATACAAGTTGTTAAAAAGAAACCTCAAAAGCCCCAATGACTCAACAGGCTTTGGTTTCTTCTTAATATTCTTCACCCACTAAGAAACCTTTCTGTGAGTTCCCTGTCACCAGCGGCATCACAAAACTCCTCTTCATAGTATGGGGACATAGTAAGCAATACTACAGGCTCTTTGGCATAAACACATCTGTTATATGTTTTTTCAACAATAATATTTTACTAGGAATGTCAACTATTTGCAGGAAGGGCTGTCACATGGGAAAAGGAAAAAACAAAATGTCATTCTAAAAGGATTGCACATACTTGAAAAAAATAAAAAGCAGATGTAAAATATTGGCTTGACTCCTCTCACCTGCTTCCTGAATTCTCACAGAAGCAAGGTAGCAATACACAGTGAGAGAGCCATATGGGGAAAATGCTTCTGTGAGAACTCAGCTGAAATTCCAAAATGGAAAGGGGTAGAGGTGGCAGATAAGGGAGAAAAGCTGCTGTTTTAATTTTTCAGTGTCAGAAGGGAAACTAAGAACAATGCATTTACACAACACAGCTACTAATCCTGTTCTGATATAAATCCCAGTGAACAGCTTAGGGTCCACGGGGGCTTGCTGGTCCATCCTAAGGCAAGCTCACTGTAAACTCTATTAACCACTACATTATCATATAAGGCACTACAATAAGGGAAGGAGGGAGAAGGGAAGAAAGAGACACACACTGAACAACTCCTCACCAGACACACCTGTGCAAAACAACTCCAAGGGTCTCCTCTCCTTGCAGGCAATGCCCCTGCTCACTCAGCACTACAGAAATATGCTCTAATATAATTGCAATTAGTTCACATACATTCCAACAAGTATCAGTTCATTTTGGTTTAAATACAATGGAGACATCAATTCCATCTCCGGGGTAACACTGGAGGATCAGATACACACTAAATACACAATTCAAGTGTAATCACTACACATTTTGATTACAAATAACATTTTGGGTTAGCAGGAAAAATTGCTTGTTATATTTTTCTAATCAATATGTACATATTTAATTATGCAAAATATTAAAACACCACCATTACAAAACTTCTAAAATATTTTTAAATTCAGTAATAAATTTTTAAAATATTTTTTGCAATTCCTACATGCACTTATTGTATAAGTCATAATAAGAGAGCATTCAGTTTGCTGCTGGCATACAAAGGAAGCGACTTTAAAGTATAAAAGCTATACACAACAATGTTTTTATCCGGTTTCAGATTCTTTAGCTTTCTCCCCAAATAAATCACATAAAACAGAACAGAGAGATGAGGCAAAGAGAGAGAGGTGTATTATTGAAAATTCATACTAATCTTTAGGCAAAGTTCACCAATGCCAACAACACTTAGGCAAAGCTCATCAATGCCAACATTTCATAATACATATAATACAACCACCACCACCACATAATAACCACCTTAATTTAATGGTTTTCTAATAATGAAATTTTAAGCTGAATCAGGGAAAGAAGGACTTTTAAAAACAATTTAAAAAGAATACATGGTGCTGTCACCATACAGACTCTCTCACTAAGTTGCCAGCAAATGGTGAGCTGCCTTAACATGACTTTCTAACAAAGGAGCAACTGAGAGAATCCCAATAGTAACCCAAAGTATTATGTAACCAGTTTTGCAAAAATAATAATTTCCCATTGAATATAATGAGATATGAAAACAAAACCAGAACACTCTAAATTTAAATGTCCCATAAACAGAGTCACCTCATAAAATTTTGAGGAGAAATGCCTGGTGGTAAAATACAGACGTGTGTCAGCTGCTTTGGAAATAAAATAGGCAAATAAGTCTGTTTTTAAACAAACAGAAAGTAATGATTTTTCTTTTCTCACTTGTTGCCACATTCCAAGTCCTTCTATCAGCATCTTTCCTCTGCCCAGCAATTACAATAAAACAAAATTAAATAAAGAGGGATTTCGCTTGTTTTTAAAAGCATTTATAGAAATCAAGTCAGAGAGACAAAATATTTTTCAAAGGGTAGCTTTAGAATGATCTCTCTTGGTAACTATGCAGAAGACGGGCATCTGAACTCTTTCAAATACCAAAAATGCTGTCACAAAAATAAAGAATTAAAAAATAGGGCAGACTTGGGAGACTACAACAATGCAGTCAACACTGAGACAGGTTTCCCAGAGAAAAACCTTCTGCTTCAGGGGGCCCCTGCAGAACAAGTTGCTGGCTAAGAAGTTTGAAGAGAGGATAAGGGAGGAGCTCACCATAGCCCACTAATAAGAACTGAAGGCCAGGAACAGGAAGCCATGACGCCTCCTCCCTCATGCTCACCAACTACAAGTAGGAATACTGGCTGATCTTGGTAGGACTCAGCGGGTATCCAGTGTAAATTGTTGAGCCTCGGGAAGACCCAATGTAAGACTGGGTGGCAAACTGGTGTTGGTACTGAGCAGGGGCCACGCTGGCAGAAGTGAGGAGGCTGGGCCCAACACTGACAGGGACCTGGTGTACCAGAGTGCTAGGGTGGGTGGTGTAGGCTGCAGCATGCCTTGAGGAGCCTTGAGGGGAGAAAAGATGAGCAATGGAGCTGGTGGAGCCCAGTGCAGCTGCAGAGGTGGGAGCAGCATACGTATACAGGTGAGGCTGGCTTGGCAGGTGAGCAGGGGCTGGGGTCAGGTGTGGGTGCCCCGTCGAATGTAGTGGGCTGCCATGCTGGAAGGCGTAGGGGGCTTGGGAGAGCGGGGCCACAAATGCCTGCTGCCTGCGGGGGGCAGGGTTGCTGCTTCTCTCTTGTGAGGCTGGAGCTGCCGATGACTGCTGGTTCTGCAAGGAGGAAGAAGGGAGTGAGGAATCTTGAGTTCATTCTGGTTCAAGGCATCAAAGATTGAGTTGAGAGTTGAGTTTCTGACTTGTACTATTTCTGGCCTACCACAGCACAGAATCTCCCAGACGGCAATGCTGTCAGAAGTCAGCCATCCATCCCTCTGCCTCTTGGCAGAATAGAGCCTAACCTAGATAACAGCAGTTCGCTATTAAATATGACAGGAAAAGTGGGGGATCAAGAGTTCATTGGGTTACCCAGTCCTGCAAGTTAATAACTATTGACTCAATTCACCCCATGTCAAAGAATTTGAATTTTTCCTAACCTTTCTTTCTTGCCATTGCTTTCTTTTGGTCTTCTCTAAGTTCTTCGTATTTCTCTTGATATGTGGAGCCTAAAACATATGTGCTAACTCAAGCTTACGTTTGCACTTGACTGTGTGCATGTTCATGCTCTCGCTCTCTCCCTCTCACACACACAGAGTTACACCCTGATAGTTACACTTTCACACTACTGGTAGACATCATATAACCACCAGGATTTTAGCTGAGGAAAGAATGAACACAAATAGAAGCAAAGTGACTCTCACTACACCATCAGAGGATAAGACAGGGAAAAAAGTCACAAACCCCAGCCTCTAGCAACAGGTAGATAATACCAGACCCAGCTGATAAAGTGGCCAGAAAGTTTTTCACTGTCTCTTGACTCAAGTAAACAGTGGAAGGCTCAGGTTATTTATGGCCAGGGAGATAAAGGAAGAGAATCGGTTTCAACATGGCAAAGTATGTGGTGGTGCAGTACCAGGCATTGAATAAAGCATCCTAAGCTCTTTCTAAATTCCAGACATTTCTCCAGTCTTCCAAGATAGACTAGGGCAGTCTGATGGAAAACCTGGAGTTCACATTCCAAACACACTTACACAGGGAATAAAGGGACAGCACATGCACATACGACGCAGGCCACAGAACACCAAACTTTTTGACACAAAAGGGGATTCATTTGGCTTTATTTAGCAGTCCAGCCAGAACAGGGGTTCTCCAGAGAGTAACAAAAGGGGGGCCCCCAAACAGAAGGCAGCAGCCCCTAGCGCTTACCTGGCTAAGGTTGAGTGGCTGTGCCGCGCTGGTCCCCCCACGTTGAGCTCGATACCCTGTGGGGGTGATACAGCATCCAGACGACTGCCCACTCACTGAGGCCACTGGCTTGGTCTTACTGCTCAGGAGACCTGAAAAAGGGCCAGGGCTTACTCAGTCATGAGCAGATACCTGCTTAGTATCACTGAGCCAAACCTCAGATGGCATCATTAAGTAGTCCACATCTGTATGTGGTTTGCAAGAGTGAAGGTCTCATGTGTATCTTATTTCCTCAATTACATTTATACCAGAAAAATAGAGACTGTATTATCCATTTCTTTCCTATCTTACTACAAAGCTCCATAAAGGATCTTCAAAAGGTTTACTTCAGTAAACAAGACACTCCCTACCCCCAAGGAGCCTATGGTTTTATGTATGAAGGGATTAAAAAGTACAGAAAAGTCAACATAAAACTGAGTAAGACATTGGTTAATTTTTAGGATACTGAAGAGTCAAAAAGGTTTAAAGGAAGGCAAGATTATATCTTGTTGGGCATTTACTTTCTTCACATTCTAAGAAACTGCAGAATAGTTGAACGCAAGGTAAAATCAATTTTCAAAATTTTGCTTCCCTCTGTGTTCCCACAAGGAAAACTAAAGCATTTATTAAGTGACCTGTGGGGTAGTACATATTCTTTGGACCCAACAGTGGACAGAGCTCCCAATAATTCTGTTAAGTAGCCTGGCATTAGGAAATTTTGCCTTGTCTGCAATGGGGAAGTTGTCTACTTCTGAGGAGAACCACACAGACTTAACACAAAACCAGCTGCCATTGAGTCAACTCTGACACACGGCAACCACATGTGTGTCAGAGTAGAATTGTGCTCCATAGGGTTTTCAATGGCTGATTTTTCAGAATTAGACAGCCAGGCCTTTCTTCCAAGGTGCCTCTGGGTGGACTAGAACCTTCAACCTTTCAGTTAGCACTACAATATTCTCTCAAATTAGAACCCTGTTTGTGTCTATAGCACTAACATAACCCACAGGAAAACATTATATGAGTATGGCAGAGATGGCTGCTCTGACACCAAAAATTTATGCTCCCCTTCCTTGGTGTGGAGTTGCCACTGGGAAGCAGCAGACAAGCACTACATTTCCTGGGCCTCCATGCATCTAGGTGAGGCTATGTGATTAGTTTTCACTATTTCCAGGCTAAGGAGGTTAAGAAGTATGTGTGCCCAACTGGCATAACAAAGCTTATTAAGAAAATGTTCTGAATCCTACTTCAATGAGTGGCATCCAGGGTCTTAAACGCTTCCAAGAGGCCATCTAAGATGCATCAACTGGTCCCAACTACCTGGAGTAATGGAGAATGAAGAACACCAAAGACACAAGGAAGGCAGTAGCCCAAGAGACAGAAAGGGCCACATAAACCAGACTTCATCAGCCTGAGACCAGAAGAACTAGATGGTGCCTGGCTACCACCAATGACCGCCCTGACAGGGAACACAACAGAGAGTCCTGGATGGAGCAGGAAAAAGGTGGGGTGTAGAACTCAAATTCTAGTAAGACAACCAGACTTAATAGTCTGAGACTGGAAGAACCCCAGAAAGCATGGCCCTTGGATTCTCTATCAGCCCAAAACTAAAACAATTTCCGAGGCCAACTCTTCAGACAGGGATTGGATTGGACTGTGGGACATAAAGTGATACTTGTGAGGAGTGTGCCTCTTAACTCAAGTAGATACAAGAGACTAAACAGGCAACTTCTGTCCAGAGTTGAGATGGGAAGGCAGAGAGGGTTAGGAGCTGGTTGAATAGACATGGGGAACCAGGGGTGGAAAGGAAGAGTGTGCTGTCACAGTATGGGGACAGCAATTAGAGTCACATAACAATGTATGTATAAAATTTTGTATGGGGGAGAAAAAAAAAAAAAGAAGTGTGTGTGTCCTTTCCAAACTTTGTTTTTCCTTCTGACTAGAGGGTGCCAGGCTCTAGGGGACGACTAAGCCACAAGATGGTCCTTAACTCACTGCAGGCCTACCAACCAGAAACATTTCCATTGGGAAGTTACTTGAGTGAAAAGTAAACTTCTATTATTGCAGCTAGCATCACCCAATAATGCAATAACTGAACTAGGAAACATAAGTCCAGCATCTAACAGAGCAAAAAAGGATAGAATCAGGTTGATAATAAAACCAACAAAAACATCACAGCTATGACATTCAGTGAGAAAAGATGTAAAAGACGTATTATTTGCCAGAAAAGTTTTGCAGTTATTTTTAATATTATCAGTTCCTGTCCACTTCTGTATTGACTAATCACTTGTGGCAAATCTAACTGCCTGCTAATCCTCTCTGCCACATATCATGTGTCTTGTCCACTTTCTCCCATCAATAGCGAATGTGTTTCTGAAACTACAAACTCATTTTTACATTAATCCAGCAAAATAAAAGTATAAAAATAAACTGATGGCCAAAAATAATTTCGTGCTGCATGAAACTGATTTCTGAATTAAGTATTCCTTCAGCATATCTATGCCACTAGTCCCTACACCACTGCTACAAATAATTTGGAGTAGATGACAGCATACACACTCCAAGGAGAATTCAACTCTAGCTGTGAAGACAAACTCACCTGAGGCCTGGGTTGCTACAGTGCAGTCACCAAGCTGAGTTTTCAGCGGAGGCACAATGATGGTGCGGGTGCCAGTCCCATCTGCCACGACTCTGCCAGGTCCCTCCAGAAGAGGTCCACTATTGCCCCGGAGAGCACCCAGGGTATCAGTGGAATATGGGCTGCTCAAGGAAGAGTCAGAGTCTGGAGAATCATTGACAGTGACATAACTGATGACATTGGACCTTGGCTTCAGGCCAGAGCTGCAGAGAAGAAAATAACATGAAAATTCAACTGTCCCTTCAGCAATGTTTCTTAGACAGTCTCCAGTCTTCCCATGATAACGATGATGACGATGACAGTAATCGAAATAGTAGCAACAGCAAAATTCTGAATGCTTATTACGTATCAGCCGCTCTTCTTACACTCTACATGCATCTCATTGACTCCTCACCAACAATCCTATGAAGTAGGTTCTATTATGCCCATTTTGCAGATGACGAAACTGAGACATAGGGAGGTTAAGGAACTTGGCCAAGGTCACACACTGATAAGTAGTAAAGACAGGATTCAGATCCTGGACAGAAGAATCCAGAGTCCACACCTCTAACAACTACTCCACACTGCCTCTTAACCATTTCCATGCATAATTATTATTTTATAATTTTGCTTTTGTTGTTGTTAAGAAAATATACAGCAAAACATATACTAATTCAACAGTTTCTACATGTACAATTCAGTGACACTGACTATATTCTTCGAGTTGCTGATGCACAATTACTTTAATGATATTCTTCTAAGACCACTTTTTTTATATCACCCCTTACTATATTAAATCAAACTTCTCACTGTACCTTTTTTTTTTTTTAATTCCTTCACTAATTGATCCCCACCTTACTAACTGTAGTTTTTCCTTATTTTCCAACAGACTTAGCTCCAATCAAAGCAATCCTGCTGGGTATATCTCATATACAATTTTCACCGCTACTAAGCCATTCTTCACTGAAAGGCTTTTCTCTTTTTCTCTTCCCCAGTCAGTCCAATGGCTACTTTCAAAACTTAGTTTCAAGTCTACCACTTTACAGATCTGAATCACTTTGTTCTAAACTTACTCTTTCAAGATCATTTAAACTTTATTTATATATGACTCTGTAAGGTCTCCTAGTTGCTTTCATGTGTGACTCTCACCTCCTTAAGTAAAAAGCAGGGTCATTCCCTCCTCTGTATGCCTAACGCCAAAACCCAATGAAGAATACCGCAACTGACTATGCTCACACTTTGAGAGAGATGTGTGTGTCACAGTTCTTAAGCTTTCCACTCCCTCTTAGTTAACTGCCCAGTTAAAGACTTAGACTAAGGGGCTGGGATAAGAGGACAGAATCTGGTATTTTATTTCTTAAGCATTTCAGATCATATAGCAGGGAGAGGGGCGTTGGTGGGGTGGGAGGCAGCCCTACTTAAGTTCTACCTCTCCCAAGAGGCCTTTTCAGACTAAGCAATTGCATTCTGGAACTCATGAGTTTCAAATAATCTCTTATCCACCTAGTCATTACAATTAACTATTGTTTATATGCTTCTGTTGTGGTATCTGTTTTCAGATTATAACATTCCTTGAAGGCAGGGATCATGTCTATAGTATAATGTGCATTCCAAGCCAGAGTAGCCTGTCAACGTAATATAAATCTGCTATCCAATGTATCTGCAAGACTGCTTCAATTGATGAACACGTACATTATTATAAAAAACTGTACAATGCTCAGTTACAGAAACTCACCCAAGGCCAAAATCTCTTTTTAACCCTCCCTTTCACAGCCAAAAAACTGGGCCACTTGCTTGAAGCCAATAATCTAAGATTCTAAGGTTAAAAGTTTTAGCTGCAGAGTCAGGGAAATGCCCCACCTGTCTTACCTATTGGGCTTGAATTTGTTGTCCTCTTCCTCATCAGTGTCACTGCGGATAGTGATGACACTCACAGGAGGGCTGGGAGTGTCTGGAATGATGATCGGCTGATGCTGATCTTGAACAGGGACTAGGGAATTATAAGAAGATGTGGTGCGAAGGGGGCTGCTTCCAACCAGAGAATAGACTTGGGAAGGAAGAACATCCAGAGAGGACCTAGAGGAAAGGGTCATGAGGAAAGCCTGCTCAATCCTTGGCCCCCAAAATTGTACATCCCTTCCCCATAACTCTTTCCATTTGTTCTTTGATTCCTTTTTTTACCTTATCATTAAGCTAATGCACTGAACTATAAAAATTCCAGTGAGAAAGAAACTAACCACTCTGGCTAGGGTTTCTGGGCACAAGAGCACCAAAATACAAAAGAAATTTCATTTTTATATCCTCTTTCACTTGGAGCCAAATTTCACTCTGTAAAGTGGGCAGAAAAATAAAAACATCATTATAAAGAAGTCCTGGATTCAAAGTGGTAGCAGAGAGGAAGGATGATCATAACTAGGACACACCTCTTTGCATGTCCAGATGAAAAAGTTAGCTCTTTCTCAATTTGGCAGGTACTTGCTGCTTCTTACTGAAAGTGTTTACACCACAACACTCCAAATGCCGGGCAAGAGATCTCTCAAACTGGCATAGTTTTAACTATCAGCTCTAACAGAGACTTACTTAGAAGAGACTGGAGCAGACTGCTTATTCTTCTTTGAAGGGAGGGAGCTGGATTGTTGTTGTCTGACAACATGGGCAACGCCAACATTCAGGGGCTGAGCAGTGGCCAATGTCACGTGGTTAGTCAGCAAGGATGGCTGCTGCATGATAGTGCTGTACTGGTTGCCATGAGAGTGGGCATTCCTGTGGCAACAGAAAGAAACAGAGGAATGAATCCAAAAACACTAGGGAGTCAGGACCAAAACAGGTATTAAAAGCAATTAAAATCGCTAAACATAGCTGTGTTTTATTTTTAAAGTTGGAGACCTGGATTACAAAGCTTTAGGTTCTTAATGTATGGTTTCTTAGTGCTTAAGACTTTCTTTAAATCTGGAGTAAATGATTCCTGATCTTAGAACCTACTTTTATTTTCCCTTATTCAAAGTTTTCTTATAATTCCATCTCCTGGCCTGATATGGGTGATTTTCTTCAGAGGGTTCAAACAGAGATAAATCTCTCCTTTCCTTATTTCCCAGTGTCCCCAGATCACCAAGTGCTTCTACCCAAAGGGATGTGCCCCTACAGATATTCCGAGAAGAACACAGGGCACTTGCCTCCAGTCAGCTAGCTGCTGGCCACTCCCCATGGCCTCTGGAATCACTGCTGTCGGCTGGACAGAGTTGTGGAGAGCTACCCCAGGCAACTGTTGCCAAGTCGAAGGCAAGAGAATTTGCTGGGTTCCTCCAGGCCAAGCTTGCTGTAAGGAAACACACACAGAGAGACCCAAGACTTAACTCATTTTTGGTTTTTTCTTTTGTTTTTTAGATGAAAGAAAATTTTGTATCTTAAAAGAAGCTGCTTGTAGATTGTTAACTTGCAGAGATTAAAAAACAAAGGTCAGAGGGGATCAAGGCTACAAATCTTATCAACAGGGAAAGAGAACACACTGCTTTCTCTTGGCCACCTCCCATAGCCTGATCACCAGGGGATAAAGAAAAGAAGACCCCTGTGGTAAGAGTTTCTATCACACTGTGGAGGAAAGGAGTCTGAAAGTTCAGCAGCAGGTGCTGGTTAAATGCTGGAGTATTGTTTTAACAAAGATATTAACATATATTCCTAGAAAGAGTTACGAGAACTCCCTTGAGATTAAAAACAAGAATTTTAAAATTTGAGTCTCAATCAGATAAGACATCAGGTAAATTCACCCAGAAAACAAAGGGCAGAATTTTTCACTTTTTAAAAAGGTTAGTACTTGGAAAATGGAGTCAGATGTGGATGACCAAAGGCCAAACTCCTTTGGCAAATAAGCTTACGCTAGCAAGAGAAAGCTAACCTCATCATTTATAGCCATATGGCAGAATTAAAAAATAAGGCAATAAGTAAAATATTCAAAAAACAGATGCAAAGTGCATCATATTTTGTTTTTAATAGTTACCTAAGATATATTTAAGTTGTTTGAAGTATCATTTATAGAAAGAAACTTCAACATAAAAACTAATCATTACAGGCAAATACATCATTTCTAGTTTTTAACAAGCTATGTCACTTGCAATAGACTGAGCAACAAATATGTTTTCCGTGCTTCTTACTCAAAGAAGTTCTGGCATTTTCTGAGAAAGTGGGAACAGATTTGAAAGTTTCCTTTTTAAACTCGAATTTCTGCAGTACAATTACCTACAGTGCTTGGGTACATATGGTTCTGTTTCTTGAATTTTGAACTGCAAACCCATCAACACACACTGTTTTAAAAATATTTCTGCAAGTAACAGATCCACTTGTTACAAATATTGGTTCCAAACAAGAAGCCTTCAAAGCAGAGAAACTGCAAACACGTCTGCTAACATAAGCAGAATTTAAAACAAAACAAAACAAAAAATAAGAGAAATATGTTAAATCACACCATGCGTCTTTCCATAAGCCAACACCTGCACAAGACAAAGCATGTAGTTTAATACAGAGCAAGAAATAACATTCCAACGTGAGGCAGAAATCTGGCGTTCCAAGCGACGAACTGTTTTGACAGAGGAAGGACAAAAATATGCAAAGCTTAGCAAACGGCTAATGCAAACTTAAGAGAAGCAGCAAAGGAGATGTGTCAACTAACATTTCCAACCTTGAAACCATAGGTGCACAAGTGGCTTGGATCAATCAAGGTTGGGAAATATATCTGACTCCCTTGCATTCAGGTTTTATGCTTATAAGATAATTTGGAGGTGATGAAAACAGAACACATCCCAAAACTAAAGCATGTTTCTGGAAGTGTTTTCACTCATATGAGTACTTGAGGAACAACAAGACATTATTTAAAGCTACTCTGAAAGATGTAGAAATATTAGGATTCAAAAGTATCAATTAGGTTTTTAAATGTTTACCTAATTTTGAAGTTTCAAGTAACGAAATGCTGGATCTCCAATAAGCAATTCTAACTCCCCCAAATAAACCAAAAGACATCCAAACATCCCTATTAAGGTGACAAATCCTAAAATACAACTCAAAGCCCTGCTGATTTGTTTTTCCTATCTCTAAGCCCCATACTATTACATTTGCCGCTGAAGTCAGTAATTTCTCCCCATCATGACTTTTAATAACAAAGGTGTAGTATCTGCACAAAGTTTGTTGGCCATACTTTCACCTTTGTATAAAGATCTGTTTGTAAAACATTTCTCCATGAACCCCTAAAAATTAGCTCACTTTTAATTTCAATCAACAAATGAAATATGATCTAAAGGCACTTTTCTAAAGGGAGTATTTTTAAATGGATATAAGTTGCCACTGATTGGAAGTGGCAAAAAGAGTTATCTTCATGTGTTTGTAGAAGGAAGGTTAATATCAACTAATAAAGCTATGAATTAAGAGCATCTTAAGCATTTCTATATGCACAGAAGTTTTAAAAGCTTAAAAGAGCAAAATAAAGAAGGAAGCTAACTTGCCAAGGAGTTCAAATTTTGGCCATCCGGGTACCTGTAGCAGAGCCAAACTAAAGGCCATTTCCTTCATTCTCAAGGATCAGAGGGTAAAAGACAGGGCAGAAAGCAGATAAGTGTGCTGAAGCTCTTCTGAGGCTATACCAAGAGCTTTTCTCACACTAAGCTGGCAAAGAAGAATCAAGGGATCTGGCTCTTTACAGAGCCACAAGGAACATCAGAGTCAAACAGGGCTTCAGCAAATGTTGGGGAGGAAAACAATGAAACATTATAAAAGATGTAGCAAGAACACAGCCACAAGATGGCACATGCTTCCATGCCCTCTGCAAAGTCTAAGTTAAAAATTTTTTTTGAAAAATGAGGAAACCAGAAGAAAACAGAACAAAAACAAACAGGAAAAAATAAAAAAAGAAAGAAACCAAAGAAACTCCGTTAGTAACACAATCAAGTGAGGGGAATTACCAGTACAGCGGCAGTCTGTTCAACCAGCGCCGGCCGGCCGGCTGCGCAGCTCAGAGTAAAGGGCACCGCATACTGCGGTGTGATGGTGGCTACTTGAGGGTGGAGAGTTGCTACCATTAGTGGTGTACAGCTTCCCTGAAACGTAGATTAGGCAGGTGAGTGAAACAAACACGGAGGCAGGTTATTCTGGATTCAGAGGGGTTCTTATTCCCCCCAAGTTTATTATCAACAATAAACAATAATTTCATATCCCCTAAATGCATGTACCAAACACAACCTTCCCCTTCAACTATGCACAGCATTCAAATGTCAATGGCCTAAAGCAAAAAAGTATAGAAATCCTTCCTGGGCCAGATTCAGCGGATTGGTTCTACAGGTCAGTTAACAAAGGCATCTATTACAAATTCCTTCTCCTCCTCCTCACAAAATAGGGATTTTGGATTTCACAGTTTTCCCTGTGTCATGGGCCACAAACAGAATTTAAAATGTTTGTTGCTTATATAAATACTTAATGATTTTCTTGATCGTCTTAGTAACACGTTCCATGGAAAGTACAAAGTTTGAAAGCTTTCTACAGCCTAGTTAAACACAAGGAATGAAGGAATGTAATACTTGAAGAGGCATCCGGATGTGATTCAGCCTCTCAAACCAGATGAAATTCTGAAAGAGTAAGCAACAGGGCCACTAAGTGAGCAAGAGGGGAACGTTATATTTTAGAATCAAATGTTTCATGTGTACTATTATACCTTTAAGAGCTCCAAGGTAAAAAATTAACTTCATCCCTCAAAATTAGAGTAAGCTTACTCAGAAGATAAATTCTCAATGTCCCTGCAAGTCTAAGGAAGACACTAGCAGAGTTGCAATAGTGTTAGGAATGAGTATATTGTCTCATATAGATGTTCCATTTCTAAGTCCACTGAATCATGACCAAGAAAGATCTTTTAGTTAAAGCAAATACCATTTGCTAGGACAAAATATCTGATTCTCAACAATGCTTCAGCAATACTGAGTATCCAAGTTGCTCTGGCTTTTACCTGCGTAAGAACTCCTGATTGAATCTGTAGTGGCTGAGCAGCTGGTGCCTGGGGTACAATTGGCACGGCATTATCCATCCTCACAGGGAATCCAGAATGCTTTGTTGTTGCTTGTAGTCCAGCTGTTGAAAACAACATCATAGTTTAAACTGCTTTGCTACTTCTGGAGTTACTGTTTTAGTTTTTTTGGTTTGTTTTTAGCTTTTCTGCTCAAATAATCTATTAACCAGATTTTAATTCTAGACATTTAAGACAAAGTTCCATTAAAGTTTTGGGAGTTAGAAAAGGGAGACTTGGTTCCCTTCAGGTTACATTAATAAGATGTGTGACAGGGAGGGTTGGTGTAAGGAAATTCTAAATTCTGTTTTTATCTAACAAAACTTAAAACGTAACACTCATCCCCCTTAACCATACAGGCAAAAAAAAAAATCCTGCTCAGTAAATTACATTTACCTTTTAATATACTAGGAGTAAAAGTGGTTTTTCAATTGTAATGTACTAAAAGCAAAGTCTTCAATATAATTCAACTTTTGGTTAATCAGATAAGAAAAAATTGTGAAAAGCTCAGTAATTTATAATCTAAGTTACCCTTTTGTTTAAAATGTGTTAAGTGGATGTTTTTCCCCACGCTTCAAAATTTAACTCAATTCACAAATTAGTCACATATTACATTTTTAACCAGTATGTGAACTGAAGAAATTATGCCAAGAGTAAAAAAAAAAAAAAAAAACCTGTTGCTGTTAATTCCAACTCATAGTGACTGTAAAGGACAGGGTAGAACTGCCCCACAGGGTTTTCAAGGAGCAGGTGGTGGATTCGAACTGTCAACCTTTTTGGTTAGCAGCCAAATGCTTAACCATTGCACCACCAGGGCCTATTAAAAATACAGGCATTTTGGTTTTATGGACACACTTTCTTCCTGTTTTCAAAATCTTCCCTTGTCATTGACAACTTTCTAGTAAGGCTCTTTTGTGGCTAATGGACAGCTACGAAAATCAAGAACTCTTTGCTGCCATAGCAGCAAAAATCTTTTTAATAAAATGTTTTCAGGAAAGGCCTGTGATGTCAGCTTTACTCTATTGTGACCACCTTTAAAACAGTAATCATGTCTAATTAATCTTTTTATTCATTATGTTCTGGGCAAAAATTCTGAATAAATATTTCTTACAAATAAGAATATCTCATCCCGGGAAAAGGGGGCTCAAGAGTTCTCCCTTTTGCCAAGACTTGAGAAGAGAGACTTCAAAGCTCTCTTCTAAACCTATCAAAACTTTCGATGTAGAGAATTTTAAGCTTCTATAATGCCTCCAATTCACCAATGCCTACAGTTTTGTTAAGTGAGGATATGTTCATTTTAATTAGAAGATTCCTTCAATGACATTTTCTAAGCTATCACCAACCAATTTCTCTTAATACTGTTATGATGGTACCATATAAGTCATAAACCCTAATACTGTTGTTTTCAGCAAATCAGTCTTCCAATTTTCCATTTTAGTAATTTACTAACAGGCTGGCATAAAGGAAAATACAATCTAGAAATGTACAAAATAAGAGGGAGGAATAAAATCTGAATTCAAACATCTAAAGGTAACTTTTAAAAAACATGCCTCCTATATTTAGGGAAAAAAAAGAGGAGGTAACCAATCCAGATATCAAGATTAAAACAATGCCTGCCCTGCTTCCTTAGACTACACTATCTAATAAGAAAGCTAAGCAACATCAAATATCTGTCTATATTCCCAGGACACATGGCTAACTACAAGATAGTGTTAGTCTTGTAATAATAACCTCCTACATATTGGAGGAACTGAGGAAGTGAAATTTCAGGAGGTAATGTTCACTATAAAAGCTCATTTGTGGCTCCCAAGGTGAGGAGTAAAAAGAGACAAAATTATAGAATAGTTACCACTAAGCAAAATGTGTATCTATTCTAGTCAATGGGAATAGTATGGATAGCAGTATTTACAGTATATCTGTTGCTGTCAAGTGGATTCTGACTCATAGTGACCCTACAGGCCAAAGCAGAACTGCCCCACAGGGTTTCCAAAGCTGTAAATCTTTACAGAAGCAGACTGCCACATCTTTCTCCCATGGAGCAGCTGGTGGGTTCAAACTGCTGACCTTCTGATTAGCAGTTGAGCACTTAACCACTGTACCACCAGAGCTCCTTAGAATTTATAGTATTGGCCTACAAACATGACTCTAAATAAGTATCAGTCAGCTATAATTTAGGCTAATCCACAGCAATTAAACTAGTTTAAAAGTAGCTTCTCCAGGGAACCACAAGTGGAAACAATTAACAAAGCTAACAGTTTTGGAAGTTTCTCCCATTATTCTGAACTAAGAAGGATTAGTTTTGTTTTGGGGGGTTTTATTTGATAAGACATAGACCATTAAACAAAGTAGTGGTGATGGCTGCAGAACATGGTAAACATAATTAATGTTACTGAACTGTACACATAAGAACGGTTGAAATGGCAAATGTTTTGTTAAATACATTCTACCACAATTTCAAAAAAAAAGAACCTTGTAAGTATGGAAAGAAATGTAAAACTGCCTAGCTGATGAAGGTCTATCCTCCTCTAGGTATACAGGCATTTTGTAAAAGAGCAGACGATGAAAGAAAAGGGGAACCCTGGAATAAAGGGCTGTTGGGCAGAAACCAGCATATGGCTGTGGCTGGTGAAGCAATGGAAAACTCTTTACAACTACTGGAGACTAAATACTAAGGGGCAGTACAGAATAACACTTAAAAATACATAAGCTACGGACCCCACTGCCTGGGTTTAAATCATGGTTTTGCCATTAACTCATTATAAGACTTTGGGCAGATGAAGGAATTGTGTACAATTTTCTCACCTATAAATTGAGGATAATGACATTAGCTACCTCCTAGGGTTTTTGTAAGGTTAAGTTAATACATGCAAAAGCACTTATAATAGTATCTGACATAGAGTACTACATATTAGGTAGCATCAATCATCTCAATTTTAAAACTCCCTTTTACTTGGAAATTTAAAACTTTGCTCTACCTAGTGCTTCAGGTTATTTAGATTGCCCAGACAGGGAAAAAAAAAAAAAATCCCAACGCTTATACTTACCTAATTATACCAAAAGGGGATATCCTACTTTGCCCCCCTAGCTCTTCAGTTTATATTTTGTTTTGTTAAATGAACTCAAAAGTTCTTCTGCCCCACTTCTTAAGTATCATCTGAGAAGCAGCAGAAAACTTCAGAGTCTCACATCTGAAAATTGTCCCAATGAAATTCATATTTTGCAAAAGGGGGGAGAAGGAGAGGATAGTTTGCTACGTTTAGTAGAAGCATAACTCAACATATGATAACCCGAAGTACAGAATTTACTATTATGAAGCATATGTAGAAAATAATTTGGTAAATGACGCTAAATTTGCATTTACAGGTTTTGAATTTGCTCCTCCGCTCTCCCTGTGGTTTCTCCCTGGTTTACATCGCTATCGCTCTCCCGTCCTCCCGGTAATCTTTCAGTCTCCCCTAGCCCCTCTTTTCCTTCTGCTTGCTCCGACTCTGTCAGAAACCAAACAAACAAAAGAGTCACAATCAATAAGTAACTGAAGTAAAAAGATACAAATGCTACCTGCTTCTGTGTAAAGTGCTACGAGAAGCCTGAACCCCAGTTTATTCCCACAGGTACTGACGCTGACTTTCTATTGCGGAAGTCAAGCGTGTCATCAGGAAATTTCCTTAAAATAATTTAACCATTTAAATGGCTCACCAAATCAAAAAATACACATTTTCCATATTTCAGAAAAAAAGAACTGGACAGACTGGCTTACAGTACAACAGTGAGAAAATGAGGAAGGATGGGAATGTGAAAATTAAAATCTTATTGTAACACATGGAGACAGTACCTCCTTTCTCAGCTATCCTGTTCCCCTGTTCCCCTGTTGCAGGAACAATATGATTCATAAGCTGAAGCAGATAATCCTAATCCCTTCCCCCACCCAAGCATTTTAGCTTATAGAATGATCTTTATTTCTCTGAATGTGACTTAAAAGGTTTCTACATTGTTAAATATGATATTTACATTTTAGAATAAAATTGCCTTTTACTTGGAATACTAATTTTTATTTTAAATGGAATAATATGATAAATAAGATTCAATATACAGCAATTCTGCTTACAACCAATTTTTTCAGGATGTACATATTCTGTATATTGAGAGATATAAGATACATGACATTGGTACAGGGCCTCAATGGGCAAGAAAACTCGTATTAGGCAGTTCAATTAAGGAAATATGAACCGAACTTCAACAATGTGTCAGGAAGTATTATAATCAGATAAAAAACTAATAAAAAAGGAGAAATCCACTTTGTGGTATCAGCTAATTTCAGTTACTTTCATTATCAGAGACAAGAGTTTAAATTTGTTAAAGATAAGAACTAAACAACTAGAGACCTAAAATAAGGATCTGCCAAAAGCAGGTAGGTCTGATAGAATAACATATAATACAGGAGCTTCCCCACTTACTTTGAAAAGCAGGCGGACATACTATAAATGTTTGTTGGAACGGATCTGTCTGAGTACAAATCTGGGTGGTTCCAGGCTGCAAGGAAACACCCTGCTGGGCAACTCCAGGAACTGGTGCTGCAGAGGATGGGTACAAAGCAGACTGGTAGTTTAGCAGTGAGACATCTGAATTAGCCAGAGAAAGGGTAGCAGCTGCTGCAGTAGAACTGGAAGCTAGAACGCTGGCCTAAAAACAAAAAGATCATATTTGTATACCAGTATAAAGTAGAAATAACAGTATTTTTACATAAACAGAATGTATCCAGAAAAACTTAGAACAAAGTTTAAAAAAAACACACTAGCTGTTTCTGAAATAACTCTCTGCTTAAGAAATTAAGATTTCCCAATCCCTAACTTAAAGTCATAAGATCAAATAAGCAAACAAAGAACAAAAAAATGCTCCTATACTAGTTGAGGCTATATAAATCCCGACCTCTTCTTTCTGCGCAAAAAGTTGTTGAAAGTCTACCAAATTTCATATGCTTATCATTTTAAAAGATCTAGCTAAGAAATTGGGAAGCTTACATTTTCAGAAACAAACTTCAATGTAAATATCCCTGGTTAGCAAACTAATGCAAAATCACCTCTTACAGTTAATTACTGGAAACACCCTTCAACACATGTAATGAGACATATAAAATCTTCCTCTTAACAAGGAGAAAGAGAGTCATTTGGCTAAAGTCAGTACAACTAACAGCAGTATAAAACAGTCAGGTTCCATTTATTTAATGTTAAGACTATGAGGGCATAGTTAGGCCTCTGTACTTAATTTTTATCAGCATGTGAGTGGTAGGCATTAACAATGATCTGAGAGTATCTATCAGTCTACCCTGGCTTTCCATGACTTTTGCCAAGTAGAAAATTCTTAAGCAACAAAACCATTAAAGCAAAGACTAGTTTCTTTACCTTACACTGTACTCTTACTAGTTTCTTTATACTAACCCTCTTAGCCTTGAATTTCCAAAAATATTTACTGAATACCTGATTGTGCACTGTATTGAGCTGGTTGCTGAAGCTCATGGTTAGATTTGTGCTTGTATTGGGAGCAACGTGCGTAGTGAAAGGACTCTTGATCTGACTCACTGTATCATACATGTGAACCCTCCGCTTGCAGATCTCCATGTTCTGAAAACAAGACTTAACACTGAAAAAGAGATTGAAGATCCACTGAAATGACTGCTAGATTTAAACGCACAGCAAATAACTCATGATGAACATGGATCAAAGTTTTTTTCCCCTCCTAAATACTCTCAGATAAAATGAACTAAGGGTTTTCATATAACCACAAAGAGGAAAAAAAACACATTTAATTTTTAACCTCATGAGAAGGAAAAGCATCAGTGAGCCAAATATACCAAAAAACCAAACCCGCTGCCATCAAGTTGATTCCAATTCACAACAACCCCATAGGACAGAGCAGAACTGCCCCATAGAGTTTCCAGGGAGAAGGTAGTGGATTCAAACTGCCAACATTTTGGTTAGTCAAACTCTTAACCACTGTGCCACCAGGGCTCCGAGCCAAATATATAAGCACTAAAATTGCTGCTCCATTTTACTTTAAGATGGTATCCCAATTGAGAACCCTCTCATGACAAAATGTCCCCAACTATCCCATACTCACTGATTGCTGTGTGGAAAATCCAGAAGGTGAGTCATTGTCACAAACTGATGGTTAAGAGTTTTCAGAGGAGTAATTCTCTTATCTGCATCAATTGTTAGCATTTTTTTTAACAGATCAATGTATTCTCTTCGATCCGCCTTCTCTGCCAACATGTCTGTTCCTTCTAAGTCTGTAGACATATTCACCTTTTCAAGAAAAATTAAGAAATATTATACTTCACCACTTAAATTTTACTGCTGAAACTAAATACCTTCTTCCTCTCCAAACTAAACAGTGATCAAGAGAGAGGCCTGAGGAAATTCTTTTTATTACAGTATAATCGTTTTCACAGGAAGAAGCACTTCTTATGCTGCATAATTACAGTCTTCACCTAAATTTGCTGGTAGAATAAAGCTGAATAAATTCTTTTCAGTCAAAATTTGCAACAAGTTAAACAAAAGTGATTGTCATTATTTACACATAAAAGTCTCCATTACTGAAAAGATTAAATGACACAGTAAATGTAAGGTGTTTCAACAGTTTAGAGTATAATAAGTACTCAAAAAATGTTAGCTCCTATGTACTTATTTAGTAGAAAAAATGAGACGAAGAATTCTTCATAAACAAGATTTCAAAATACTGACACGCAACAAGGTCAGTTAGGCAAAAACAAGGGAGAACATATATGTCTGAAAGTATCTTTCGTTAGGATTGAAATGTTCTTTTAATACATGGCAGGATATTAATGCATTTTTTTCTACAAAAACTGAGAAGATACACTAGAAAGATAACAGATTAAACTTGTCATTAGTATAGCCAATGGAATTATGTCTCTGATTAAAATGATACATAAATGTCTGGATTTCAGAAACTTTCCACGCTCACCTGAGCCATGTCATCTAAACAGTTAAAAATGTACTTCCGAGCTTCTTTTGACTTTATTCCAGTCTCTAATTCATGTTCTTCAGGTGTCTATAAAATATGATTTTAAAAAAATTCTATCTGTATATTATTTTCATACTTTAAATTAAAGCCAGAACACAAAGAAACAAGTGTTGTCACCTTGTCAACCATAGATGGCAAACATGAAAGTAATTTACAACCAGAAAATCCTCCAGTGGAGAGATACGACCTTGCTAATCTGGCCACCCTTTTAAGTGATAAGCAAACATGTAACGGTGATACAGCACAGCTCCTGAAGAATGTCACGTAAGAAGTAACATTACCATTTTTCTCTTAAAGCTACTTTCAAATGAATTAATACTTCAAATGCTAAGTGTTTTCAACAGGCTCAGAAGGCAGAGAGCCACAGGGTTATTAAATTACTCAAGAGATTTCTCAAGTTAAAGGAGTAGGGTCAGAAATAAAAAGTTGATATTCATTTCAAGAAAACATTTAAGGCATTAATGCAGGCAGTTACAAACATATGTTGAGTTTTGTCATGTTTATTGAGAATTCTCTAAAAAACAGTCATTAATAAATTACTCTAGTTCTTCATAGCACTTAATGGTAAGCATTACTCTCTACACCCCCTCTCAGCTGCTGATCAAAATACACACAAAAAACTGCAACCAAGTGAACCAGCACTTAATGTTTTGTTTTGTTTTTTAACTAAGGATAAGGCCAAATGGGTACAAAGAAATAATTTTCAAAGTATGTCCTCCCACAAACATGGCTTCCTCCTCTCTTTTTCCCTCTCCCACCTTAAGAAGTTAATAACTAAACTTTGAATGCAAATGTATGTATGGGGGGAGCGGAGGTAAGAACAGGAATGGGTAGTACAGTTGGGAAGACAGACCTTTAGCCTCCACAGTGGGTACCCCAAATTAGGATCTCTGTTGAAAAACCTGGTAGTTTTTGTCCCAGCACTGAGAAGATATTCAGCTGGCAGGCCTTGTGTTTGTGAAATGTAACGAATCTGAAACATCAAAACCATCAACACATCAATTTGGAGTGAAAAAGGAAATCATCAAAGACTTTTACATTAAAACATTATCTCTAGCAAAAGAGGAAAGTATTGTAAAGAAATTAACTCTTTAATCAATACAATTGAAATTTATCTGTAAATACATATATATATGCTAACCCATCCACAAGCAATTCTCAAATATCTATGCAGTAGCTTCCTTGTCACTACATCTGCTATTTACAAGGAAAACCCAGTTTTGAAAATTCTGCATGCAATCTTTTTTGGGTTTTTTTGTAGACTCCTGATACTAAGTTCAGAAAATTTAAGGAGATATCTAGGATAAAACAGAATAGTTTCCAACAAAATCTTTTTTATGTATTACCAACATATTTTCCTCGTTTGGTTTGTTTTTTAATCGTATCAGATTAGAAAGATTAGGAAAAAATTCTTCCTCAACCTTTCCTCTTTGGCTACTCTAGCTCTTGTCAATTTTACCTTCTCTAAATTACTACAGAGCTTTTCTCTCATACCATAAAATTTAACATTTAATTTTAAACTGTCTATCTTTCCTATGGAAACCTTGGTGGTGCAGTGGTTAACAGCTCAGCTGATAACTCAAACGTCGGCAGTTCGAATCCACCAGGTGCCCCTTGGAAATCCTATGGGGCAGTTCTACTCTGCCCTTTAGGGTCACTATGAGTCAGAATCGACTCAACAGCAACAGCTGGCTGGCTGGCTGGGTATCTTCCTATCCCCACATCAGTAGAGGGATGATACCATGTTCGTTCATTCAACATTTATTGAACACCTACTATTGTAGTAGGCTAGCAGTTTTCAAAGTGTGGTTTGGGGATCCCTGGAGGTCCCTATAACCCTTTCAGGGGGTCTATGAAGTCAAAACTATTTTCACAATAATACTAAAAAGTTATTTGTCCTTTTCACTTTCTTCCCACAAGTGTACAGTAGAGGTAATGTGACGACATCACTGTTTTGACAGCTAATGAAATACTTGCTTCTATGTTCTTGTGTTTTAAAATTTCCTCAGTTTTATTGTTCACACTTCTGTTTGCTTTTGCAATTCTCCCCACCTAGGAGAGCAATATAAGAGGCAATTTTTTACTACTCACTCCCCTTCATATATGACTGGTTATACTTAGATGAAATTAGAGAGAAGGAAATTGTAAGCAAGAAAATAAATCTTACTTTCTACCTCCCCCAAATTCTCAGTTTTAATTCTAGTACAGTATATATTGGTAGATATAAGCCACATTAACAGAGCTTTTTAATGATTTTTAAGAATGTAAAGTAGGAGTCAGCAAAGTATCGCTTCCTGGCCTGCCATCACAAGACAATTTTAGAAAACAGCAGGATATTGTTCCAAAGCTGTGGAGGCTACATAACAGAAAACCAAAACATAGCATTAGCAAAACAGAAAATGGGAAGGGCAAAAAAAAAGTCAATAAGACATTTCAAACATGAACTTTTTTGCATACAAAAAAGTGAAATATTTTTAAAATCCAGGATAAAATCTGTAAAATGAAATACTATGCAGATATCGAAAACGACAGGGTCGAAGTACATCTACTGACATGTAAAGGTATTTCAAAATATATTAAGTAGAAAAGCAGCTTGCAAATTAAATATAATCTCACTTTTTTTTTAAATTACTACAGTTCATTGATTCTGAGTGGCATTTTTTTTTACATTAATATCTTTGAAATCAGGAAATGTCTTAGAATTGATAGCTATCATAGTTTAATTGGCAGCATTCACTCTTTCTTAGAGGTATAAAAAAGTGGTGCATTTTTCAGTTAAAGGTGTCTTAGGTTTGATGAAATATAGTACATATGGTTCTTTAAATTCATAAGCTTATATTTGGAACATAACTTTATGTAGCACAAATACATTCATTCTTTTCATAAGTTTGAGCCAAACAGTGGTGATTTGAAAAAGACATGTTTCCTGCTCTCACAGAGCTTTCTGTCTAGGGAGGGAGACAGACACTGAATGCATAATTCAAATAAGCTGGAGTTTTGAAGAAAATACATAAGCTTCTATAAACATAGAGGTAGTCCCCGACTTACAACGTATTCGAGTTATGATGAACCACACTTACCACCATCTTTTTTGGATATTTTATCGTTAATAATATGTACTACATACAATATTACAGCGTGTAATTTGCTGATGTTATCATTCTCATGTCAACCCCCAAAGACAAGTAAAGATCAGATTTACAAAGATACTGATAATAAAAGGCAATAATAATGAAAACTAAAAAAATGAGGTATTCAACTTATGCCAGAACCAAATTACAACAGTTGTCAGAGCTGAGCCCCAGGTCAGGGACTACCTGTATATAACAAAGAACCTAACGTAGACTGGGGGCTGGGGAGGAAAAACTCCTTGAGGAAGTGACACTTTGAGCTGATAAATGAATAGGCATTGACTAAATGAAAGGAATGGGTGATGGCGAAGCTTTCTAGATTATGGGAACAATATGTGCAAGAGTCTGTGCTAGAAGGAAGCATATCCTTCACCAGTGCTGAAATGATGCCAATGGGGCTGGAAAGCAAGAAAAAATTACGTAAAATAAATCTACAGCAGGAGAAAGGAAGGAGACAGACAGACCATGTAGGGGTACAGAGGCCATAGTAAAGCTTTGGCCCTTTATTCTAAAAGCAATGGGAAACCACTGAAGACCAGGTGAGTAGCATGTTCAGATTTGTGTTTTGAAAAGATGACTCTGGAAAAAAGACCAGAGAGAAGCCATTAGATAAAGGGAGACTGTTCAGCAGCTCAGGTAAGTGGTGATGATAGCCTGGACTAGCATAGTAGCAATGGGGAAAAAAATGAGTATAACCAAGAGGTATTTAGAACACAAATGGTCAGGAGATATATGTACATGCACACATACAGCAAACTACACTTTTCTTTCATAAAATGTATCTCAACTGTATTATACAACTATTTGTATGATTATTTACTTACTATTCCCCATCATCAAACTATAGTCTTCATGAAGGCAAGGATAATGCTTGTTTTATTTAGCACTGTATCCCCAGTGCCTAGAGTACCTGGCACAAAGTAGGTGCTTTTTTGTCTCTTGGCTTACTCCATCTAATTTTTTTTTTTTATAATGATGTACTTATAGAATTGAAACATTTAAAATGTTTGATATTATACAATGGAAGAGTTTCACTGTGAAGGTAGAATGGGAAGCTATCACCCAGATGCTGCTTTCACACAGCTTGAAAAAGCAACAACAATAACCCCACATTTATGCAAAGAAAAGTATTATTGTGATTTGCTGTTTTAACAATTAAAGTGCTTCCAACAAATCTGAAGGCATGAACTATCTAGAGAAGATACACACATTTGACTTCAAGACTGATAAAGACTAACAAACATTTGCTACAAAAATCTCAGATACAGGAATTTCAGTATCTATGAAAAATCGACAGCTAATGACATACTGAATAGTGAAAGACTGAATGCCTTCCCCTGAAGATCAGGAACAAGACATGCATGTCCACTCTTGCTGCTTCTAATCTATACTGCACTGGAGGTTCTATCAGGGCAATTAAGCAAGGAAAAAAGACATCCAGACTGGAAAAGGAGAAATAAAACTATGTTTATCTGCAGAGGACATGATCCTGTACACAGAAAATCCTAAGGAATCCACTAAAAAACCATTAGAACTAATAAATGAGTTCAACAAGATTATAGGATACAAGACAACATACAAAAATCAATTGTATTTCTATACAACAGTAATAATCAATCTAAAAATAAAATTAAGAAAAGCATTCCATTCACTATAATATCAAAAAGAATAAAACAGAAAGAAATTTAGCAAAAGCGTAAAATTTGTACTCTAAAAATTACAAAACACTACTAAAAAAAATAAAATAAATGAGAAAGACATCTTACGTTCATGGATCAGAAGACTTAATATTGTCAAAATGGCAATACTTCCCAACTGATCTACAGATTCTATGAATTTCAATCAAAATTCTAGATGACTTTTTTGAAGAAATTGACAAGTTGATCCTAAAAGTCATATGAAAACAAAAGGGGCCCCAAGCAGCCAAAACAATCTTGAAAAAGAAGAACAAAGTTGGAGGACTCACGATACCCAATTTCAAAACTTACTATGGTGGTCAAGGCAGTGTGGTGTTGGCCAAAGCATACACACACACACACACACACACACACATATGTGTGTGTATATATATATATGTATGTGTGTATATATATATGTGTGTGTGTGTGTATATATATATATATATAAATAGATCAACAGAACAGAATTGATAGCCCAGAAATAAACCCTCACATTATGATCAACTGATCTTCAACAAAGAAGCCAAGACAATTCAATGGGGGAAAGAACAGTCTTTTCAAGAAACAGTGATGGAACAACGGGACATCCACATGCAAAAGAATGAAGTTGGACACCTTCCTTATACCCTACACAAAGATTAACTCAAAACTGATTATAGATCTATTTAGAGCATAGCTAAATAAAAAACTCATAGAAGAAAATATAGGGGTGAATCTTCATGGATTGGCATAGGATTCATAGATACAACACCAAAAGCACAAGCAACAAAACAAAACATAAAGAAATTGGACTTCATCAAATTAAAAACTTTTGTTCTTCAAAGGACACCATCAAGAAAGTGAAAAGATGACCCAGAAAATGGGAGAACGTATGTCCAAGTTATATAAATAAGGGACTTGTAACCAGAATATATAAAGAACTACTGCAACTGAATAATAAAAAGATAAACCAATTTAAAAATGGGCAAAAGATCTATACAGACATTTCATTTCTCCAAAAAAGACATGCAAACGGTGAATAAGCATATGAAAAGATGCTCAACATCATTAGCCATTAGTGAAATGCAAATCAAAACCACAAGAGATACTGTGTCACCACATGAGAATGACTATATTAAAAAAAGACAGATAATAACAAGTGCTGGTAAGGATGTGGAGAAATTAGAACCCTCATACACTGCTAGTGGGAGCATAAAAATGATGCAGCCACTTTGGAAAACAGTTTAACTTTTCCTCAAAAAGTTAAACACAGACTTAACATATGGCCCAGTGATTCCACTCCTAAGCATATATCCAAAAGAAATGAAAATATACATCTACACAAAAACTTGTACACAAATGTTCACAGTGACGTTCTTAATAGTATAAAACTGGAAACAACTCAAATGTTATCAATTGATGAATCAATAAAATAAAATGTGGTACAGCCATACAATGAAATATTATTTGGCCATAAAAAAAATGAAGTATTGCCATATGCTACAACACAGATGAACCTTGAAAATATTATGTTAAGTGAAAGAAGTCAGTCCCAGAAGACCACATATTGTATGATTCCATTTATATGAAATGTCCAGAATAGGCAAATCTATAAAGACAGAAAGTAGATTAGTGGTTGCCTAGGGCTTATGGGGAAGGGGGGGTGGGTTAGGGGAAAATAAGGGAGTGACCGCTAATAGGCATAGGGTTTTTTCTTTTTTTTTCAGAGCAATCAAAATATTCTAAAATTGATTGTGGTGATGGTTGCACAACTCTGTGTACATGATAAAAACCACTGAACTGCACACTTTAAATGGTTGAATTACATGGTATGTGAATTATACCTCAGAAAACTCAGCTGTAAGAATAAGGATTCTGTCATAGAAATCTTTGTGTATAAACCAATCATGTACCAGGATAAAATCTCCAATACTGCTCTACAACAGCAGCATCCTATTTATTCAGCTTAGGAAAAACTACTTTATCCTACCACCTGGTTTCACACCTACGCAGCACACAAAAAATTCTCAAAACTACCAGATCATTTCTTTACAAAGAAAGCCCCAGTTGTATCTTAGCTTTTAAATCTAATTGTTTTTGGATCCACTTCCTAGGAAAATTTACAACATCAACCTGTTTACTAGTGTTGAAGAGATGTCCACGAAACAGTTGGCCTATGGATGGCACTCTGAGAGGCTGTAATTGCTCAGAGCAAAGTTTCTTACCAAGTGTTCATGAATCCCCTAAAATAGCAAACAAAGCACTGTGTGTGTATTTTTCTGAGACGATCCATAGCTTTCATCAGTTTCTCAAAAGGGTCTAAGACCCAAAAAGGAGTAAGAATCAATGGTTTAGGTCAACCAAGACTGTGGTTTTGAATCATTTAATCCTCTTCATACTTTTTTTTTTTGTAAAATAAAGTAGCTACCTTGATTCTCACAAGGTACAAAGAAAGAGATTAAAAAATTATAAGATGCAATGTGAATACTAACTTACCACAAAGTAGTCCCTATTTTTCATTTCATTAAATATCAAGCCCCAAAAGTCAAATTTTTGGAAATTGATAAATGCTACATCTACTCTACAATGGAACGAGGTGCCAAAATTCTAGACTGAATAGGGAAAAACACTGCTCTTTTTTCTTTCTGATTATTCCAGGTAACTAACCATTTATTTCTTCAAAAAAATACTTGTGTACCTACTATGTGCCAGACACAGGGTCAGGAGCAGAGGATACACTGGTGGAATGAAACAGTCTCTGTCCTCAAGGAGCTTACAGCCTATTGGGTAGAACTATTTTTTTTTTACAAAGAACGAAAAGTGAGAATTCACAATTAACTTCCATGGTGACACTTTTTCCCTTGATGGATCAACTCCTCAGGAAACCGTAATATATCTTCTCCTAAAGCTTGTATCTTTTGAGACACAGATTGTTTATTAAAATACTCTACAGCTCAGATGATTTCCCTCATAAGTCCTATTTTACAGGGACTCAATACACATCACAGTTTCTGGGATCTAACGTGTTTTAGATTGACAGAGTGTGTGCCATATGTAAAACCAAAACCGGCTGCCACCAAGTCAACTGAGATTCATAGCGACCCTAAAGGACAACATAGAACTGCCCTATTCATTCTTAAAATTTCAATTCTTCATCTTACTCTTCTTTCATATCTTAACTCACAAGATATATTAATTAACCAAAGGTAAGTCTCTAATAAATCATTCCAGAGCTGGAAAAGTACCAATCTGGAGTAATATAAAAATATAATAATTTTTTAAATAACAGAATTACAAACATAACTTTAGACAAAGAAGCAGGTAGAGAAAATTATATTACTCTTTAAACAATTCTTTGTAATTGAACTATTCTTTCCCTGGTACCTAATTACTTCACTAGTACTTCTCTTCCTCTAAAGCCTCTTTCACTAGTAAATACTTGCTTTCTACTTCCATCCAAACAAACACTCTTACCTGATCATATTCTGAAGCACCAGGATAAAGAGGCCATCCCAGGAACAGCTCAGCTATCACACAGCCCAGTGACCACATATCAATAGCTTCGCAAAATGGTAATCCAAGAATAATTTCAGGGGCTCTAGCAAAAATAAACATATGATATAAAAAATAAACATTCTGGGAAATTAATTATGCTGACCAAATCCTGTTTTAGTACCAGTCAAAGGTACATTTATTTAATGAAACTGAAAACAATCGCTGGTACACAATCTTTCATCCCAAACTCTTGGTGCCTGAGGTGTTTGGAATTCAGAATATTTTAATTTCAGAAAGGTAATATAGTGCATGAACTGTATATTGTATAATCATCTCAATGGAATTTGGGGCCAAAAAAAACCCAAACCCACTGCCGTCGAGTTGATTCCGACTCATAGCGACCCTATAGGTCAGAGTAGAACTGCCCCATAGGGTTTCCAAGAGCAGCTGGTGGATTTGAACTGCTGACCTTTTGGTTAGAAACCAAACACTTAACCACTGTGCCACAAGAGCTCCGGAATTTGGGCATCACCCCATAATCAAACAGATTAATATTTCTGCAGCAAAACATGTATGAACAGTCACAATAAGTTGGCTAAATAGCCTTATATTGGTTGAAGTCAGGTCTTGCCAATAAATGAGTTTATACCAAACTTAGGAAAAGACTTTTAAGTTTTGAGAGCTTTCTGAACTTTGGAATTACAGATAAGGGGTCATAGACAATAGATAAAATTCTTAACACCTCTTAAATTGTGAAAATAAAATTAATTAAAGGGCCTGGTTAATAAATACTCCTTTGTGATAGAAATGCCTTCTGAAGAGATGTGATGTTTGACAGCACAGACTCTAGACCCAGCCTGCCAAGATACGAATCCCAATTTCATCATTTACATCATAGCTACAGGCAAGTTACTTCATCTCTCTATGCCTCAGATTCCTCATCTATAAAATGGAGACAATAAGAGAACCTACCTCTTACAATTGCTGTGAAGTTTAAATAAATAAATATATTAAGGCTTTTAGAACAGGGCCTGGCACACAGTAAGCCCTATGTAAGCGTTAGATATGATAATAACTATTGTTATATTTATCATTATTTTAAAACTTTGACTGTTTGTGTGCTTTTGCAAACATTCATTTCCATTAATGCTCCAAGCGAGAAACATAACCCTAAGGAACCTTAAAGAAAAGACTAAGGTAATACCATAAACGAAGAGCTTTATATATATGAAACACATTTAAGGTACAATTATTACCCCATTTATAGAGGCAGAAACTGAGGCAAAGAGAGATTAAATAATTTTCCCCGAATTACATAGCTAGTAAGTGGCAGAGCTAGAATGTGAACTGCAACAATCTGGTTTTGGAGTATACTGTATGGTCCCTCAATAAGTAAAACTTAAGTGTGCATCCAAATGTATAAATCTATTTGGCATGGTGGTATATACGGACATTTTATATATTGTGACTAAAGTTAATAAACAAATGCGTTCAAAAGGGGATAATAATAAGAGGCAAAACTAGTATCAATAATACATGACACTTATATAGTGCTTAATATGTGCCACACACTGTTCTAAATTATTTATAAATGTCAAGTCATTTAATCCTTACAACAATACAACTATATATCATCAATTCGAAAATGCACAAATTAACATCTCTGAAATTAAGTTCAACAGCAGTGTTTTAACTTTCTTAGTGGTACACAAATAATGCTGTCTTTTCGATTCTATGTAATAAAGCATTATATCCACTTTACAGATAAGCTGGGCACTGAGACGTAAGTAACTTGCCTAAGGTCACACAATTACTAAAAGACATAAGCCCAGGCAGTCTGGCTCCAGGATCTAAGCTCTTTAACACTTTCTCATCTTCTCCAAATGATTTCCTTTCCTTCTTACAGGTCATAGAATTTAGATCTGTAAGGAAATTCCAAGATCATCTAGAGCAGACTCCTCATTTAACAGAAACTTACTGTTGAACATAGGGCAGCTAAAGCAAACGGAAGAAATGATGAAGTAAAAGAGCTGAAGAGATTTCAAAGGGCAGCTTGAGAAGACAAAGTATTATAATGAAACGTGCAAACACCTGGAGTTAGAAAACCAAAAAAGAACACCACTCAGCATTTCTCAAGCTCAAAGAACTGAAGAAAAACTTCAAGCCTCAAGTTGCAATATTGAAGGATTCTACGGGCAAAATACTGAATGGCACAGGAAGAAGCAAAAAAAAAGATGGAAAAAACACAGAGCCACTGTACCAAAAAGAATTGGTCAACGTTCAACCATTTTAGGAGGCAGAACATGATCAAGAACCAACGGTATTGAAGGAAGAAGTCCAAGATGCACTGAAGGCACTGGCGAAAAACAAGGCTCCAGGAATTGACAAAATACCAACTGAGATGTTTCAACAAATGACGCAGCACTGGAGATGCTCACTCATCTATGCCAAGAAATTTGGAAGACCACTAACCTGCCAACTGACTGGAAAAGATCCATATTTGTGCCCATTCCAAAGAAAGGTGATCCAACAGAATGCATAAAATTATCAAACAAAACCATTAATATTACATGTAAGTAAAATTTAGCTGAAGCTCCTTCAAAAGTGGTTGCATCAACAGGGAACAGTACATTGACAGGGAGCTGCCAGAAATTTAAGCTGGAATCAGAAGATGAGGTAGAACGAGGGATATCATTGCTGATGTCAGATGGATCCTGGCTGAAAGCAGAGAATACCAAAAAAATGTTTACCTGTGTTTTATTGACTATGCAAAGGCATTCAACTGTGTGGATCATAACAAATTATGGATAACACTGTGAAGCATGGGAATTCCAGAACAGTTAATTGCGCTCATGAGGAATCTGTACTTAAACCAAGAGGCAGCTGTGTTTGAAAAGAACAAGGGGATACTGCGTGGTTTAAAATCAGGAAAGGTGTGTGTCTGAGTTGTTTCCTTTCACCATACTTATTCAATCTGTATGTGAAGCAAACAATCCCAGAAGCTGGACTATATGAAGAATGCAGCATCAGGACTGGAGGAAGACTCATTAACAACCTGCAATATGCAGATGATACAACCTTGCTTGCTGAAAGCTAAGAGGACTTGAAGCACTTACTGATGAAGATCAACTACAGCCTTCAGTATGAATTACACCTCAACATCAAGAAAACAAAAACCCTCACAAGTGGACCAATAAGCAATATCATGGAAAACGGAGAAAAGACTGAAGTTGTCAAGGATTTCATTTTACTTGGATCCACAATCAATGCCCATGGAAGCAGCGGTCAAGAAATCAAACAAAGTACTGCATTGGGCAAATCTGCTGCAAAAGACCTCTTTCAAGTGCTGAAAAGCAAAGACGTCACTTTGAGGACTAAGGTGTGCCTCACTCAAGCCATGATATTTTTAATCGTCTCATATGCATGCAAAAACTGGACAATGAATAAAGAAGACGAAAGAAGAATTGATACCTTTGAATTATGGTGTTGGCTCACAATACTGAATATATCATGGACTGCCAGAAGAATGAAGAAACATGTCTTGGAAGAACTACAGCCAGAATGCTCACTGAAAGCAAGAATGGCGAGACTTTGTCTCACGTACTTTGGACCTGCTATCAGGAGGGACAAATCCCTGAAGAAGGACATCATGCTTGGTAAAGTATAGGGTCAGCAAAAAACAGGAAGACCCTGGACAAGCTGGAATGATACAATGACTGCAACGATGAGCTCAAGCATAGCAATGATCGTGAGGATGGCGCAGGACTGGGCAGTGTTTCATTCTGGTGTACACAGGGTCGCTATGAGTCAAAACCAACTCAATGGCAGGTTACCAACAACAACAAATGGAAAAGTAGATCCCTCCATAAAGAGCCATCTAACTGGCAGTGTCTCCTCATGGAATGTCTAATAGGTTTCTCAAACTTTACTATCAAGTAATATGTGCTTATTGCTGCCTTTATTGGGGGGCGAGGGGCAAGGATTGAGGGAGACAGGGTATACAGTATTTCACTAAATAAGAATACCCTGCCCAAGTAATTAAATATTAATAGTTGCACTTAGAAAACTGGGTAAATTGGGGGATTCCACAGAATCTAGAGGCTTTCCTGATCCTTGTACAGTTAACATCAGAAGATTCAGGCCTGTTCAGATTTACACTATTTGACAGCTATGGGTGAAACCATCAACATCATCAGTTTATGTACTATTTTACGTAAACTGTGGTTTTGCTAGCCAAAGAAACAACCTTCAAAAGTGATATTCCTATTTAAGGTTGCTAGGGGCACATATTACTGATGGAATTACAGAGTTCAATTAAATCCCACTAGTGTGGCATGTTTTTAAAACAGCATAAGTATCGTAGGATCATTAATAAACTAGAGGGCAAGGGTACCCAGAAACAACATAAAAGCTTTTCTAAAATTAAAAAGGAACAAAATTTTCTACTCTCAGTGAGCAGAATCATTCATTTCCAAGTTCATGACAGTGCCAAAAATAGCTTGCAGGGAGAATGCAAATGGTTTTGTGCCAAAATAAAAACTGGGCTTAGAACATTCCTAAGCATCAAATGGATAGTGGCAGGTTGATTTTGCCACTCCCACCATACTAGGAAGGCATTTTAAAGTCCAAGAGGTAGGTCACAGGGAGCAACCAGGCCAGGCAATAACTTATTTCTTTAAGAAGGTAGCAATAATATTAATAATTGTTAGGCTTCTAAAGCTTAAAGCTTCGTGAAATTAAGAAAAATACTAATTCCAGCTGCTGATCCTCATTCAAAAAAACAAACTGAAGATTAGCTGGAAAAGAACCAGTTTTTCCATTTGGTCTCACCCTGCTTTGGGGATGACAAAAGCAGCTAAGGATTTCAGGAAAAGCTCACTCAAAACAGCAATTCTACACATCTACCACACAAAAAAGACAAGAATCACATAAATAAATAAAGGCAGTAAATAATAATAATAATGCTGCTCAGTCCACTGAGGGCTTTTCACTGTCATTGGAGTCTAGAAATGTTAGACTTACCTAACCCCCTAGGAAGCAAGGAGTTATTTTCTCTCATACTGAACAGTAAAGAATCAGTAAAGCAGGTTCATGTCTGAAGACTGAATGTTTTAAACTCTGAATTCAGGTTGTAGTTCTTGGAAGCATCGTCATTACTCTATCATCTTTACCCTTGGCCTCCATTATTTCTCAAACCCTTGATATAAACCCTAGACACTGAAACTCTGGTAGTACTCATCTGTGTGATAAGAAGGCCGAGTTAGAGAATTAGTCTAGGTCCCTTTCCGGCTCTGCCATCCTAACAACAACTGGGCAGTAAAAAAGATTACCTACTGAAGCACAGGAAAGAAAAAACAAAACTGGCAGCACTTGCTTTACTAGGAAAATGGCATTAATTGCAATTTGGACATGGTAAGCCTCCTCTTTGAACATACGGCCCATCCTTAAAGAACAAACACTAAACAGGCTCTAACTACTGTAGCTCTAATTACTGTAGCCAGCTGGTGGAAATAACAAATCCCCCAACCCTTTTTGATTTTCTAACTTCAAACTTCTTTAAATTGAAAAAGTCCTCCAAGGCCATAAAGCTTTATTTTACTGGATTCCAGAGCAAGCTGAGGTTAGGATCACTTCACAGCACACATCATTCTCCAGTCATTTTCATGAATACTCTTGTTTCTTCTTTCCCATTTCAGAGACATCAAACCTACCCACCAGATCAAAGATATTACATAAAGTCTAACTTCCTGCATCTGTGGCTTAGGTCAAACTGTAGTTTCACTGTCAGATGAAATTGGATTGTTTGTCTAGGATAAACTGAAAAAATTCTTTTCCTTCTCTAGAACTTTGTTCTCACATACATAACCAATAAAGTGATCTCAGACTGAAATAAAGGCCATATAGTTTGTTCAGAAGGAGCCCTGGTGGTGAAGTGATTAAGGAACTTGGCTGCTAACCGAAAGGTCGGTGGTTCAAACCCACCAGCCACTCCATAGGAGAAAGATGTGGCAGTCGGCTTCCCTAAAGGTTTACAGCCTTGGAAACCCTACAGCGCAGTTATACCCTGTCCCACAGGGTCGCTGTGAGTTGGAATCAACTCGACAACAATGGGTTTGGTTTGGTTTTAGTTCGTTCAGAATAGAAAACCACTGAGCTTGCAAGCATGGCAAACCTTTGTCCCTACAGCTCAAGCCCCAAAGACAGTCTACACTCAGGGTGGGCCAGGAAATAACGTATATCATTTCCATTGCCCGAGTCATTTGGCCATGCCCATGGCCAACGACGACAGTAGGACGGCAAAAATTCATGTCAATGGATAATATTTTGGCATGTTGTCATTATCAGCAAGATGAAGTAATGTAAAATAAAAAGAAGGGTAGGACGAAGGCTAGCTTTGGAGCCAGAATGCTTCACCAGCCAAAAGGATTTCACTGAGGTTTTCTGAAAGACAAGAAGGTGATGACTTAATGGACTCTAATCAGGCACCAAGCAACATGAAAGAAGCTTATCCACTGTGAATAAAACTAGCGATAAAGAAGGAATGCCTGAGTTGCTATTCCATCTGCCTTAGGCTCATTATCAAGCATTACTGTGACAGAACAGAACACTCATGTTAAATCCTAAAAGTAGTCAAGCCCTGGATACTGAACACATCCTGATACACAGAATGAACTCCTATTTTTAAGGGGTATACACAAAATGAAGTCTCATTTTTAACAGGTAAACTTAGCTCCACTGAAATTACACCTATAGTTAATAACTAAAATGCTATAAACAAAAATCAAACACGTTACTGAGTCCTCTCTTTTTCCATTTTAAAACTGCTGGAGCCCTGATGGCACAAAAGGTCAGCAGTTCAAATCCACCAGCTGCTTCTTGGAAACTGTCTGGGGCAGTTCTACCCTGTCCTATAGGAGCTGCTATGAGTCAGAATCGACTTGACAGCAACAGGTTTGGTTTTCTGGTTTCTGTTACCACAAGGGGCTGCACTTTGTCTCTGACAGGGCAGACAAATAGTTAAAGAACATATGCAGGCACTGACTAGAGAGAAGATCTATAAAGGGAAAAGCCGATCAAATCCTCATTTCTCAGCTGTTATTTGCCTCTTACCTCCCCAGCACTCAGAATGGGGTGCAGAGCTGAACTCTTCAGTGCACCTACAAAGTATGTTTGTATGTATGGATGTGGGGGTGGTAGTGTGGCGGAGTTGCTCAAAGAAAGGAGAATATCAGGAGCAAATGTGGTTGGAACCTGTACCTCCTAACTCACGAATAAATAAATGGAGGTGAGATTCTCAAAATTGGCCAAGGTTGCCTACAGCAACATGAAACCAGAAACCAAAGGCTCTTAAGAGTTTCTTTACCCCACCTCACTCGATTGAAAAATGTCATAGAAAAAGAATAGATAAAAACAAATGAGATATGTGCTGAGAAAAAAAAAGCTCATTTACAAAGCTTTCTCCACATCTCCCCTCCCCCACCAGAAAAATAAAACTTTCTCCCTTCTTTCAGTAATGTTCCTTGGCTATGGCACAGACAAGATTGTATACACCAATGTTTAAGTACTGTCCCAATAATTATTATATGTTTAAAAGGTAGCCTTGTTGTTGCTGTCAGGTACCATTAAGTCAGTTCTGACTCACAACAACCCTACAGGACAGAGTAGAACTGCCCCACAGAGTTTCCAAGGAGCGTCTAGTGGATTCAAACTGCTGACCTTTTGGTTAGCAGCAGAGCTCTTTTAACCACTACACGACCAGGGCTTCAGCCATGTTAGAAGTATCAGTCTAGAAATATAAACCACTAAAGCATAAGGCACGTGGGTCAAGGCCATTCTACGGTAGCCAAGTAAGTTCAAACTATCTTGGAGAATGTTAAAACAGAAAGAGACCTTAGCAATCATCCAATACAAGTTTTACTATTATACAAGAAAAAAAAATGTAAAAGAATAAAATGCTGCTAGAGTTTAACCTGGATTTATCCCCAAGGCATTTTACCTGCCAAGAAATGAGCTTGGGAAAAAAATGGCATATGCCTAGATTCACTACAAATAAGAAAACATCTTTATATATTTAAAATGGGAAACAGCATAATGGTACTAAAGAAAGAACTAGATGCTAGTATAATTCAACTAGCAACAACTTTCAGAATAACTGAGTTAATTTTTCTACTGCTAAATAGAATTTCAAAAATAAGATAATGTTACATAGTGGAATGCCACACATAGTAACTAAGCTAAAACATACTGTCCTATTTCTTTCTTAGAAATCTGCAAACAAACAAATCCATTGTCATATACTGTATGTTAACTATAAAGACAGAGCTCTAGTCTAAAACACGCTTTTCAATATTTGCCACTTGCCTGTAGTAACGTGACTGTAAGTAGGTTGAGCACACAGCTTTGGAAACATGACTAGCAGAACCAAAGTCAATGACCTTCACTCGGTAGGGTTGGCGCACTGGGTCCACCAGCATTATGTTTTCGGGCTTAAGGTCAGCGTGAATCAGACCAAGGCTCTTGAGCTTCATCAGGGCTGTGGCCACCTGCTGTAAAATTGGCCTGATGTACTTAAGTGGCAGTGGGCTAAACTTGTTCTGCTTTAGGAAATCATATAGGTTCTGCTCCAGCATCTCAAACACAAGGCAGGTGTGATTCTTATGCTGAAAGCACTCATAAGAACGGACAAAATTATACTCATCAGCATTTTCACTGCTTAGGCGGGAAAGGATGCTCACTTCAATCTGTCCTTGTCTGGCATAGGAGGGGTGGTTCTTCAAGATTTTAATAGCCACAATTTCCTTGGTGCTCCGCTTCCAGCACTTAGCCACCTGTCCAAATGTTCCCCGGCCTAGGAACTCCAAGACTTCATAGCTGTTGGTCATAGAACAAAGGATCTCATGCTGGACCAGCTGGTAATCCCCTTCTCCACTGGAACTGCTACTCTTTGTGGTCACAGTGGTGGTCGTGGCAGCAGCACCCACCACAGTCCTGTTTTGCAGCATGAGAGGGGGATGTTCTTCTATGATCTGCACACTACCGTTGCTGTCAACTTCTTCACTTTTTCTTTTCAATCCACATTTTTGATATGGCTCAAGCAAAGAAACGTTGCTTCTGTGAGTCAGGGTCTGGCTGCTTTGGAAGGTTGATGTAGCAGCACTGCCCGAGCTATCTGCGGCTGTTACAACAATATGCTCCACTGCGGGAGCTGGGAGGAGGAGGCCCTGGTCGTACGCAGGGATGTTGAAATTTGCTACCTGGTGAGAGGAGTTGGCTTGTCCTTGTGTGGCTGGGAGGGTTTTGCTGTGGGTATAATATTTGTCGTTGCTGCTCTGTCCTGGAACATCCCAGCCAGAGGGCTCTATTTTCAGTTTCTTCGCGCTGCAAAAGGCACTCGACGACACTGATGGGGGGGAAAACACCTGCAGCTGTGATGCCATACCTATGTTGAGAGAGAGGAAGAATTAGACCACCTTGATTTTACACAACACCTCAATTAGTATACAAGAAAACTTCTAGTTTTGAAAAACCACAAATAAACTTATACCTGGTCTGGATTTTACTTATACATTTTCCAAAACATGCTTCTGTTAAAAGGTTAAACTTTTTGGTCTAATTACACATCCTTAATCACTCCTTTTAAGAGCTCCGCTGCTAACCAAGAGGTTGACTCCATCAACTGCTCCTTGGAAACCCTACGGGGCAGTTCTCCTCTGTCCTATAAGGTCGCTATTAGTCACAATCGACTCACTGGCAATGGATTTTTAAATCACTCCTTGAAATGTAACAATAATTGGATATATCGTTAAAGGGTATGAACATCTACGATAGTCTATAAAATAACAAGTAATAATAATAGATGACTGATCACAATATGACAAGCAGTAGTCTAAGCACATCACATGAAGTACTCATTTAATTCTCACCACAACCCTTTGAAAACAAATATTATCATTATTTCCATTTTATAGATGAAGAAGCTAAGGTACAAAGAGGTTAAAGTAATTTGCCCAAAATCACATAGTTATTAAAGTGGCAGCAGTGGAATTCAAACCCAGGCTCTCTGGCTCAGAGCACGTTCCAGAGCTCTGTCTTCATCCCTGGCCTGATTGACTTTTTAATCAATTATCTAAATTTAGACAAGGACGGCATGCTTGGAAAATTCACAGATGAACCAAAGTTGGGCAGGATACTCCACATACTAAGTAACAGGTCCAAAAAAGATCACAATAGGGTAGAAGCTACAAGGTAGATCTAGTAGATGACATTTAATACAAACAAAAGCTCCTATACTTAGGTCCAAAATATGAATAATACAAAGCACAATAAGAGATGCAAGGCTTAGCAGCAGCATATATGAAAAACACTTTCAGTTGATAAGAGAAACATGATGTAATAATGTTCCTCTCCCCTCATAAACTGATTCAAAACTTAAACTACATTCATGAGAAATCGTGTCCAGAACACGGTAGACCAAGTGAAGGCTATCCACTCTGCTCAGATTATACAGTGTTTAGCTCTGGCTACTACATTTTAAGAGGGCCATTGATAAAGTGTCCAGAAAGAAAGTAACCAGGATGATAAGCCTAGAGAGTATCTTCTGAGACACCATGGGAAGTTATCTTAGAAAAATGTGAAGGGAGAGAGTAAGAACAGCCCAGCTTCTTTCTGTCTCTTAATGTCCCATAGGCACCTCAAACCCAATAAACCCAAAGACTAAACCCAGCGTGATTACTTTGAGAATAAAGTCCAAACATCTGACCTAGCATACAAGCCATTTCATATTTACCTTCTCCCTTCTCAACTATTTGACTCTCACATATCTTGGGGTTCTATCCTAATCCCTCTTTTCTTGCTCCACACTTTTCTTCTTTTCAGTAACTATGCCCCAGGATTAGTCATCTGCAAAAGATTATCAAATCTGTATCTCTAATCCAGATTTCTCTAGAGTTCTCTCGAACCTCAAACTCTTATATCCAAATGCTCACTTGCTACTGTCACCCAGGTATCTTACCAACACCTCAAATTCAACATGTCCCAAACTGAACTTATGATCCTCTACCCCTCTCCATCTCATCCCCAGTTTTCTATCTCAATTATGAGATGCACCACACACCCAATATCTCAAGCCGGGAGGCAACGAGCCTCAATTTCCTCATCTATGATGTTGTTAGTTGCCATCAAGTCGATTCCGACTCATGGTGACCCCAAGTGTGTCAGAGCAGAACTGCTCCATAGAGTTTTCAAGACTGTGACGCTCCAAGAGCAGACTGCCAGGCCTGTCTTCCAAAGTGCCTGTGGGTGGGTTCCAAACACCAACCTTTTGGCTAGCAGTCGAGCACTTAACCGTCTGCACCATCTAAGGACTCCTCCTCATCTATAAAATGGTGATAGCAATACCTATACCTCATGGGGTTGTTCTGAGGATTAAAGGATTTAATACATGTGAAGTGTTTAGTGCCTGGCAGACGCTTATTATTATCCTGACTCATTCCTCCCCCTTATTATATCTAATTTATAAATCTTACCAGTTCTACTTCCTAAATATATTTCAAATCAGTCATTTTTCTCTACCAGTATTGGCACCATTCGTGTTCAAATTGTCAATAGCCTCCAAACAAATCTCCTGAATACACTCAAAGGATCCTTTAAATAATGCAGATTGGATGACTGCGCTTTGCTCACTCTTTCTTAACCTCCTTCCTCCCCCAGGGCTTTTCATTGCTTTCTGGATAAAGTCCATAACCCTCAACCTGCCTTTAAAAACTCTCCAAAATTTGGCCACTGCCTTCCAATATCTTCCTACCTTGATTCTGCCACTCCAGCCATCTGCTCTGCTTTCAGTTCTTGGAAGGTTACTCCATATTCTGTCACCTCCAGGCCCTCTAACACATTGATAACTGCTGGGGAAATTTCCCTGACACCCCCCCCTTCCCCCCTCCACACACCACAATCGCCACCACCCCCAATGCACTCCCACAGCACCTTGTTCTTTCCCTATAACTTGTAATGATTCATTTAATGCTACATTCCCAGCTACCGTATAAACTACATAAATATCATGTCAGTCTTGTTTTTGGTTTGTTATCACTGGAGCCTAAAACAGACTCTGGCAATATCTGTTGTTGTTAGGTGCTGTCGAGTCTATTCTGACTCATAGCAATCCCATGTGACAAAGCAGAACTGCCCCATAGGGTTTCCAAGGCTGTAATCTTTATGGGAGTGGATTGCCAGGTCTTTTTCCCAAGGAGTGGCTGGTGGGTTTGAACCATTGACCTTTTGGTTAGCAGCCCAGCACTTAACCACTGCACCATCAGGGCTCCTTGGCAATATCTAGGCACTCGGTATTTGTTGGATGAATGATTTGATCCCTGCCTACCAACCTCATATCTACTACAAATCCTCACCACTAATATTAAACTATACTGCTTTCAAATGCTTGTTCTTTAAAATGTCCCTCCCTTTTATCTGGGCAGTTACTGAGATATGATGGAAGTTTCCACTCTAATCCACATAGTATAATTTTACTAGTCATAAGAGAATAAACACACAACTAGAAAGGAAGGAAGCGTGACAAAGGATGTTACAGAACATCAAAAAGCAATTGTGTTCATTTCGTTGTGCCTGAATGCAACTAAAAACCATCTGTTCTAAACTAGACAGCTGGAACGAGGAATAAATCCTCAACTTTCAATTTCTAAAATGCAGTTTGGATATATTTTAAGCAAGAGTTTTCATAGTTCATATGAAGCTTAAAGAGAAAATGTGTAAATTAAAAGCTAAAGGCGGTGTAACTTGACACCAATGTTACTACTTTATAAATCTTGTTCTACCTGTATTACTGACACAATACCAAATAATTAAAAAATAACCAAGCAGCTCCTTTACAAAGTTATCTATTAAAATATATGCAAAAGTATCTATCATAAAATTGAGCCAAAGTGCTAAACAATGAAAGAAAACAAAATTTGTTTTCCATTGTATCTGCTGAACTACTAACTTAAACGATTCATTATAAATAAAAATCATGAACACAAACTTTATATACTTAAAAGCATTTGAATACAAAATCTGCAATTTGTAGCTATGTCTATAACTATGAGGCATAAAGTAATAGTACTGAAAAGAATTCCAGAAATGTAATAGCAAATTTTTTAAGTATGTTTATGAGATACTCTTTAAAAATACTGCATTTATCAGAATGTTACTGACAACTTTTCACCCAATAAACAAAATAACAGATACTGATGGTTTCAAATCTTCATATCGCAATAAGCACAAGTTCTAAGAAACTATTCAGAATGCTTAAGCATATAAATAAATATATTTTTTATTCCATAATACAAACTAAAGTCCACCCAAAGGGAAAAAACCACCCAGAATTTCAGTGGCCTTGCCCACAGCAAGAGCATGCTGCACTTAATATCAGACCACCAGGACTCTTACAAAGTGGCTGAGATTCATCCTGACCTGAGCTAGCATAAGGTATGAAGAAAATACAGAATCCAAATTGGCTAGAAAAATCAACAGACTTACTTATATATTACTCTGGAATTCAGCTAAAAACAATTTCTAGACACTGGAAAAAGATACCATGTTCCACAAAATGATAACTAGGCCTGTGCAAATGGGGAGGCAATTCTCTTAGAAGGCCAAGGAAAAATATGGAACAGAATTAACATCAATGGAAAACTTACTATGTATCAGACTCTGTTAACCAAATTACAAATTATTTTCAATTCACATGGGAACAGCTCTCAATAAATTAAAGTTATTTCTGACCTCCTGAAAATGCTGCACCTCTTGACTCCAGCAGGGAATGAAGATTTCGTTTCAAAGCAGATTTTCCAAGGACTTAACCATCTAAACATAATGACAAATTTGCTCACTATGTTAATCATAAACTAGAACTGACAGGCAAAGGCTATTGGTTCCTGTACTTAACTGCTAAAAAGACAGAATTGAGTCTTGCTAGAAGCCAAGGCTTCCAAAGACATTCCAATTAACAGCTTCTCCACTCCCTGGCAAGGTCCCATGTATTTAACATTTATTTGGTATCCCACACTATAGGTACTACTGAGAGGTAATCTTACTATAAAGAATTTCAAATATTATAACCCAGAATGGAACAGTTGGGTGTGACAACCAAGGAAATCTTTTTACAACTTTTGCCCTTAGGCCTTAGTAACTTCCATCTTTTCCCAGACACACCAACAATAAACTTCTGCTGCTTTCCTTTCATCTTTGCCTCTTTGATACAATTTAACAATTGGCGGCCTAATCAACCTAAAATGGAAAACCCTGTTGGCATAGTGGTTAAGAGCTACTGCTGCTAACCAAAAGTTTGGCAGTTCGAATTCACCAGGCAGGCACTCCTTAGAAACCCTATGGGGCAGTTCTCTGTTCTATAGGGTCACTGTGAGTCGGAATCGACTAGAGGGCAACGGGTTTGGTTTTGGTATTGATCTTTTCTTCTAGCGCTTGTTCTCAGCTAACATATACACAGATGGATGTATTTTCCAGCACACACTCTGATATATGAAGAGTATTCATATCATTAAAATAGGTAAATAGGACTACATGTTCTGTAAAAATAAAGCAAGACAAGTTTGGGAAGACAACAACTCTTTCACCAGAACACCTAAATCTGTCTCTACTCCACCCATTTTTCTCCATCCCTACTGCACAATCCTGGACTTAACTGGTTTCCCCCAAATTATACTCTCAAACCCCTCTTCTAAACTTCCCCTCCTCCATCCATTCTCCAACCTTACAACAAAGCTTTTAAAAATGCTTATCTGTCCCCTGCTTAAAACCTTAGGATAAAGTCTAGAATCTCTAATTTGGATTACCAGGTTTTACAAAATCTGTACCCTGGTTACCTTTGTAGCCTCACTCCATACTTCCCCCAGAAGCTCTCAGTAGTACTAAATTTCTCTCAGTTCCTGGAGTAGGCCTTACTTTCTCATGCCTGAGGTCCTTCACACAGAATGTTCCCTCTCTGAACTTCATTTTCCCCTATTAGCCATTTCTTTTCCTATTTATCCTTCTAATCCCTGCTTTTTAAAGTTCACTTCTTCAGTGTGGCAGAGGCTATTTGTCTGGATCAAAATCTACTCTCCCCTTCATGCCGAGAACATGCCTAGGCCATGTTTACCAGTCCTCCTTCTCCAGTGGAAAGTGCTATGTGAGTGAGCCTTTTGTGTTCCTTTCCCTTTCCATTAGCAGAAACCCATGGAGACCCAGCTTCCACCATGAGACAATACCCAAGGGATGGGAGAATAAGACGGAAGAACCACCTGGCAACCTGGAACACTCACTTCAACCTGGAACACTTATTTCAGACTGTTACATGCATGAGAAACTATTTTCCTTCAACTAGATTATTATCAGTCAGCTTTATGCTGACAAATATTCTCAGGAAGCCTTCCTAGGACCACCCCATACCAGATTAGGTTCCCTAGTAAAGACTGCCATAGCATCTTCCACTACTTCTTAGCACTTACCACACTTACTTATTTCATTTACAAATTAACAAACATATACTGAGCAGCTACTATGTGCCTGCTAAGAACTGTTCTAGATATAAGGGATATTGTGGTGTTCAAGATGGACAATATCTCTTATCTCATGGGCTTACATTCTAGTGTGGACAGGCACACATTTCACAAATAGCAGCTAATGTTAAGTGTAATGATAAAACAAAACATAATGAGGTGAAAGAGACAGCCTGTGGTGGAGGAGGACAATCTAGATTTAGTGGTCAGGGAAGGCCTTCTGAGGTGATGACATTTAAGCTGAGATACGAACAACAAGGAGTCATTCCAGTCAAAGAGAACAGTTAGTGCAAAGAAAGGAAGACTCCCGGTCTGTTTGAATAAGAAACCAATATTGGAGAATGGAACAAGGGAGAAACTAGTAGAAGTAGGTCCCAAAGAAGAAGCAGGGGCCAGATCATTTATTGATTTCTAGGTCATTCCAGATTTTATTCTGAGTATGACTACTTGTAACTATTTACTTAACACTTGACTTTTCTTCTAAACTGAAAATTCCCTGAGGGCCGGGTCCTGTGCAATCCTTAATAACATCTATCACTAATGTTTGATGGAATGAATGACCATGAAAAGATCACGTTACCTTTCCATATAAAAATGTGAAGAGACCTCAGAAGTAGTTCTGACTAAATTAGATAAATACTCACATGATGAGATAGAAATTAGTCTCTTGTCTGCAAGAAAATACATATATTCATATATATGTGTGTGTTCTAAGTATAGTGATACAGATGAAAAAAATAAAACCCTAACCATTTGAATCATAGTTCCCCACCCTCTTTCCTGTAGCACTTCCTTCATATAGAGCCATGTGAAACAAGTCAGTTCCCCAACTGGTATACAAAAATAGGGTGTACAATAGATGTTAGCTGCTAGTGGAGTAACTCTACAATTCAGTGTTACTTCCAACATTTTAAAACAATTTTCTAATAGTTTGGTAAACTGGCTGAGAGGTATTTTCCTTCTAAGCAGGATATTTTTTCCTAAATTTCAACAGCTCTCAGATTTATTTAGAACGACAAATCCACAGCAACAGAAAAAACAAAAAAGATGCTTTATGTTTGTTAAAAACGTATTACTTTAGTATGTGCACAGTATAGTCTACAAGGTCTATAAAGTTTAGAATAAAGAAAACTATACCTCTAAACCTTAAATCAAAAACATCCCCTGAAGTCTCCTTAAAACCAAACAATAGTTTTGCTTAACTAGTAAGGAATGTCTGCCTTGAGCACTATGCTTTTTAAGATCTATCATATGGGATCAAACTGACAAAAGCCAACTTCAAACATTAGATAGGAACCTTAGGGAGCAGTGAGTTTATGCTGATGGGGAGGAACAACTCAGAAATGGAGGGTGAGAATGGTTGCACAACTTGAAGAACATAATCAGTATCACTGAATTACACAAGTAGAAACTGTTGAATTAGTGTATGTTTTGCTGTGTATATTCTCAACAACAACAAATAACATAAATTGTAAAAAAAAAACAAAAACAAACTATACCTCAAGGAGTTTCCAGCTAAAGGAAAAAGTCTAATTTGACAAAACATAGGTCAATATGAAACATAAACAACACTAAGAAAGAACCCTGTTTAGATCAGCCAGCAAAGGCCTAAGGAAAACAGGACTTAAGTAAGGTAACAACGGTTTGGCAGATGGAAGGAGGAAGAGATTCTTTTAGAAGAAATGAGATGACTTTTGCAAGTATGCCAGGGGATGCGGAAATATGAAAGATAGTTTAGAGTAAGGAGATTTATTTGATTAGAGCAGAAAACACTGGCAAAAAAGTACAAGGACACCATAGCTCAAAGGGACCTTAAAATTGACTCTTGCTAAAGCCCCTTAATTTCAAGGTGAGAAAAAGGAGACCCAAAAAGGCCAAGCAAGTTTTACACAGAACTAATGAGCAGCAGAGGCGCCCGTGTGGTGCAGTGGTTAAGCACTTGGCTGCTAACCTAAAGGTCAGCAGTTTGAACCCACCAGCTGCTCCTTGGGAGAAAGATGTGACAGTCAGCTTCCTTACAGATTTACAGCCTTGGAAATTCTTTGGGGCGGTTCTAGCCTGTCCTATAGGGGCGACTGTGAGTCATCGACTCGCTGGCAACGGTTTTAATGAGTACCAATGCTGCCAAAGAACTCAGGTCTTCTGGTTCTTCATTAAGCACTCTGGGAAAGCACTATATCAGGTGCCCTTGAAGCCAAAAGAAATACAATGTAAGTTTTCCTATCCTCAAAGAGTTTAGAATGTTGCTGAGGTCATACCACACATTTTTAAAAAAATAGGAAAAAATACAAAAACAGGATGTAAAAAAAATTTGTTTTAAGTACCAGATTATGTGCTACCAAAATACATTAGGTATTTAGGAATTGGGGTTCTACAACTAAAGAGAGATTGAGAATAAATAAGAAAAAAAGAACCAATAAGCAAATCAGTGATTGCTAAAGTGATACTTAAAAGGAAAAATAATTTTGATAATTTGTATTCAGAATGGTACAAACCATAAGGGAAGAAACTGGGGAGAATTAATAATAGTAAATTTTTTAAAACCCTTGAAAAAATATAGTAGATTGCTTTATACGGTCACAAAAATGAAAACAAACGGGCAGATCAAGAAGCTCATAGGTAATGGAAAAATTCAGGAACGAATTTTGAACAACATGATGAACATTTATTTAATGTCACTGCGCTGTACATGTGAAGACCGTTGAAATGGCAAAAGTTTTGTTACCTATATGTTTACCACAATAAAAGAAAAAAGTTTAAAAAAAAAAAAGCTCATGTTTGTAAAATCTCTTCAAATTACAAAAGGACCAGTTACAATGCATAAAAACAAACTGCACAAATTCCAAGTATAAGAAATTTACCAGGCAGGTTTGGCTCAATGATTTCTACCAACACACCACCATCTGCAGAGCTGTGCTTATAAAAACAAAACCACAGAATGAAAGAATTAGACTTTCCAGAGAATTGTACACTCTGAGATTTTCTTTCTTTCTTGTAGGAGGGAGTTCTGGTTTGGTTTTAAATCTCAAGCTAACAATCAATTTGCTCTAAACCCGTAAAGCTACAGTGTTTCCAGAGATAGGCTATCACCAGCAAAAATCCTACCCGCCAAAAGGATTAAGAATATTCACAAACTCTCATTGACTATTTTACTTCTCACATGTTTCACTAGCTTGGCTGCCTCCAGCTCAAACAAGTACTTTATCAAAACCTCCTTCAAACCAGGAACAGTATCTTAAAGTCAATGACATTGTTCATCCTATCATCATACCAATATTGTAACACAGAACCCTGAGATAATTACATGTAATGATCCAAAATCACTATGTGAACGACAAGCATACGGTAAAATGACTTGTCAGTAGATTTTAAAATGTTTTACTGAAAGCTTTAGTTTTATATGAAAAAAAGCTGGTAATGATTTGCATTCCCTAGGATCTTAAAAAAAAAAAAAACAGAAAACTACAGACCAGGAATCAAAAATAGCTTTACACAAACAAGAGCAAAATTGTAGGTTTTACAGAGGGCATCAGCCATTTCATTTAACCCCACTTGATCAGGAGCAGAAAGCCACATCGCTGTTTTCAACAGAGTTACTACGAAACAGATAAGCTAAAGGATAGACTGGAGCAGAAGAGTCTGTAGTTGAAACGGGTATTTTGATGCGATTACTGAGAATTCCCAAAGTGACACTAATAGTCAAGAAAAAGCATCTAGGGCTGCCTCAAGATGACTCTATAACTGAGTCAGTGGTTAAAATGGAGAAAAACACATTGGAGCTGGGGGTTGAGTCCCCCCCCCCCTTCCCCAGCCCTCGCCCCCACCTCACCCCACCTAAACAGGAAAGAAAGCGCGCCCAGCATAAACACAGGCCATTGCTCTCGGGTTTGTCACCACAACAAACTGGAGGTTAGACCAGCGCTCCAGGAGACCGAGCCCCACCCAGGTCTTGGTTGCTAGGCACAAAAAGGGCCTCTTCCCCACAGACCTGTGAACAGTGTGGGCTTTAATTTACCCAAGGAGTTTGGGTGTACCTCCATTTTTTTTTTTTTTTTTTTTAACGAAAGCTTTGAAAGTGGCGACAAAGGAACAAAGTTTCTCTTTGAGCCAAACCTCTAGATCTGCCTTACACAGATGCACATTAGGTGGGCTGGTCCCACGTAGTCTCCACCGTCATTACAAATTACAAACTTAACAATTACAGAACATTAGCAGAGAAGATAGGAAAGCTTCCACACCCACCCCACCACCACCATCCTTTCCAGACACCGCTTCCCGGTCCCAAACAGCAAAAATAACCTCAAACCACGGTGATAAGCACAACTGTGAAATACACACGCACAAGCCCCACACTGGGAACCTGCCACGACAACCAGGAAAAAACCAGCCCGGTGAGGAGAGGCAAGGCGGCCCCCTGTCATTTAAGGACAACAACACGCCCAGGAGAGAAGTGGCAGGAGGCAGAAGGAGTTGCCCCGAAAACGAACCCGAGCTTCCCCACTTTCTTAGGAACACAATCCCCTCCCGCGGCCATGAACAGCCGGGCTGCAGGACACGGAGCCCGGTCCGGGGCAGAGGCCCACTGAGGGAGGCGCCCCCCGCAGGACAGGCGCCCACGGAAAGCCCGCAGCCGGCCTGGCCCCGCCTCGGGGAGCGGATGGGAGATCGCTCCCGGCAGAGGCCCGCCCTCCCGCTCACTCACTCACCGCCGGTGTGTCTGGTTCTCAGCCGCGAGCTGGGGCTGCTGTGAGGAGGCGGCGGAGGAGACGAGATCCGGGGCCCCGCCGCCGGG